CTGAAAAGTCCCCAAGACTCCATCCCCAATGAACTAGCAAAATGCAGGGCTGGAGGTGTGATTCAAGTAGCAAAGTGCCAACCTAGAAAGCAAATTGAGCAAGTATAAGGTACTGAGCTCAAACCCCAGTGCTTCCAGACACCAGTGGCTCACACCTGTAATCCTACCTACTCAGGAGTCTGAGATCTGAGGATCATGGTTCAAAGCCAGCCTAGGCAGAAATGTCTGTGAGACTGTTGTTATCTTCAATTAACCTCTCAAACAACAACAACAACAAACAGAAGTGGTGCTGTGGCTCAAGATGGTAGAGTGGTAGTTTTGAGTGCAAAAGCTCAGGTACAGCACCTAGGCCTTAAGTTCAAGCCACATGTCTGACAAAAAACATAAGATTAAAAACTCCAGTGCTGTTAAGGAAAGAAAGAGTTTGGAATGAGGGGGAATATAACTCAGTGGTAGAGTTTGTGCTTAGCATGCATGAGGCCTTGGGTTCCACCCCCCAACCCCCCCAAAAGAAGTAGTATGGAAGATATACTCCCCAAATCTTACTTGGTGGGGCTAGATGTGTGGCCCAAGAAATAGTGGATTTACCTAGCAAGCATTAGGTCTGAGTTCAAAATTCACTGCTATAAAAAAACTTACGTTATGAAGACAGGGACCAGGGTGAGGCAAACAAAGGTCATAATTTTTTTTTTTTGCCAGTCCTAGGACTTGAACTCAGGGCTTGGGCATTGTCCCTGAGACTCTTTACGGTCAAAGCTAGTGCTCTACCACTTGAGTCACAACACCACATCCAGTTTTTGAGTAGTTAATTGGAGGTAAGAGTCTCACGGTACTTTTCTGCCTGAGCTCCCTTTGAGCCACAATCCTCAGATCTCATCTTCCTGAGTCCCAAGGATTGCAGGCGTGAGTCTCCAGTGCCTGGCTATAGAATGTTTAAGGTAAGGTGTGGAGGCCCTCATTCTGTGGGTTGTGCAAGTACATGGGTGACACCTGATGGTGAGTGCTTCCTAAAATATGTCCCCTACATATTTCATTCACTTTTGTCATTATAGCTTTGGCTTGGGAGAGACCTGGGGCTATTGAATCATGGATACTTTCTCCTGTTCTTCTTCCTTTTTTATTTTTATTTTTTGTGAGTCCTAAGGCTTAAACTCTGGGCCTGGTGCTGTCCTTTTGCTTAAGGCTAGCACTCTACCACTTCAGCCACTGTCTACTTCTGGCTTTTCTGTGATTTTTATTTATTTATTTATTTAGGTTGGTCGTGGGGCTTGAACTCTGGGCTTGGATGCTGTCCCTGTGCTCTTCAACTCAAGGCGAGCACTCTACCGTTTGAGCCATAGTGCCACTTGCGGTTTTCTACTTGTTTATTGGAGATAAGTCTCATGGACTTCCCTGCCCTGCCTGGCTTTGAACTGCGATAATCAGATCTCAGCCTCCTGAGTAGCTGGGATTACAGGCGTGAGCCACCGGCGCCTGGCTTCCTGTCTTCTTTTTTTGGGGGGGATCTGGTCATGGGTCCTGAACTCTGGGCCTGGGCGCTGTTCCTCAGCTCTTCAGCTCAAGGCTAGCACTCTACCAATTGAGCCACAGTGCCACTTGCAGCTTTTTTCTTTTTGCTTATGTGGTGCTGAGGACTTGCAGCTTTTTTCTTTTTGCTTATGTGGTGCTGAGGAATCGAACCCAGGGCCTAAGGCATGCAAGGCAAGCGCTCTACCACTGAGCCACCTTCCCAGCCCTCCTGTCTTCTTTTTTTTTTTTTGGGTCCAGTCGTGGGGCCTGAACTCTGGGCCTGGGCACTGTCCCTCAGCTCTTCAGCTCAAGGCTAGCGCTCTACCACTTGAGCCACAGCGCCACTTCCGGCTTTTTTTCTTTTTGCTTATGTGGTGCTGAGGAATCAAACCCAGGGCCTTGAGCATGCAAGGCAAGCGCTCTACCACTGAGCCACCTTCCCAGCCCCTCCTGTCTTCTTATGGATGCAATATTCAGAGTTAGCTGGTGTCACTTCCTCCATGGGGTGGGGCTTACACAGTGGAGTAAAATGCTGGTCTTATGAGTGCTGTGGCTCTGGCTAACAGCAGGCTGCAGCAATCATTGGCCAGCTTGGTGGGGAGAAGCAGGTGATTTCTTTTGTACAAGGAAAGGATTCAAGGAAAAGGGAAGGGATGTGGATGTGGTAGAAAGTTTGTAGATTGAGACCTTGAAGCCCCAGGACCTCAGTCTAGCTGTCATTCTAGCTACTCAGGAGGCAGAGACCTGAGGATCAAAGCCAGCCCATGTAGAAAGCAGCTGACTTTTTTTTTGGGTCCGGTTGTGGGGCCTGAACTCTGGGCCTGGGCGCTGTCCCTCAGCTCTTCAGCTCAAGGCTAGCACTCTACCACTTGAGCCACAGCGCCACTTTCCGGCTTTTTTCTTTTTTGCTTATATAGTGCTGAGGAATCGAACCCAGGGCCTCAGGCTTGCAAGGCAAGCGCTCTACCACTGAGCCACCTTCCCAGCCCAGCAGCTGACTCTTATCTCCAAGTAAAATTCTTATCTCCAAGTGGAGCTGTGGCTCAAGTGGTCTCTACCACAGAGTCTAAGCCCTATTACAGTACAAAAGAAAGGCAGAAAAGAAGAAAGGAAAGGAAAAGAAAGGAAAGGAAGGAAGGAAAGAAGGAAGGAAGGAGGGAGAAAGAAAGGAAGAAGGAAGCAAGGAAGGAAGGAGGGAAGGAAGGAAGGAGAAAGGAAAGAAGGAAGGAAGGAAGGAAGAAAGAAAGGGAAGAAGGAAGGAGAAAGGAAGGAAGCAAGGAAGGAAGGAGAAACGAAGGAAGCAGGAAGGAAAGAAGAAAGAAAGGAAGGGAGGGAGGGAGAAAGAGGAGGAAGAAGACTGGATTTACAGTCAGGAAACAGGGTTCCCTGCTTGGCTTTGGGCCTCCAAGCTGTGAGAATCCAAGCTTGTCACTTAGCATTTCTGAGTGCTTGTTTATCTATAAAACCTCATCTGATATGATTTGCCAAAGTCCTGTGAAGATCAACAGATTAAATAGTGCAAGTGGTTTGTAAACTGTAAAGTACTATGCACATATCTAAGACTGTTATTAAATGATTGTGGAGGGAGATTTTAAGAGGAGGCTTTGGGGGGCCACTGGCTCTGGGTAGAGAGAATGAAGGCTGAAGTCATTTTTTTCTTCCTTTCCATTCTTCCTTTCCTTCCTTCCTTTTTTTTTTTTTGTCGGTCATGGGGCTTGAACTCTGGGCTTGGGTGCTGTCACTGCACTCTTCAGCTTAAGGCGAGCACTCTACCACTTGAGCCACAGCGCCACTTCTGGTTTTCTAGTGGTTTATTAGAGAGAAGAGTCTCACGGACTTTCCTGCCCAGGCTGGCTTTGAACCGTGATCCCCATATCTCAGCCTTCTGAGTAGCTAGGATTACAGGCGTGAGCCACCAGCGCCCAGCTCCTTCCTTCCTTTTGTTGTTGTTTGTTATGGGGTTTGAACTCAGGGCCTGAACTCTTTTGCTCAAGGCTAGCACTCTACCACTTTGAGCCACAGCACTACTTCCTGTTTCCTGGTGGCTAATTGAAGAGTCTCAGAGACTGTCTTGCCTGGGCTGGCTTTGAATAGAGATCCTCATATTTCAGCCTTCTTTGTATTAGGACCACAGGTGTACCACGATCCTCAGATCTCAGCCATCTGAATAGCTAGGATCATAGGTGTGAGCCAGCAGCACCTAGCTGAAGTGGTTTTTCTGTGACACTAGAGAAGAGCAAACTAGGCTTCCATGATGACTCCAGTCAAGGAAAGCTACTATGAAGCAAACAAAGCCAGGACTCAGTGCTTAAGGGAGAAAACCAAGTCCCATGATCTCACCAGGGGATAAAGATGTACTGGAATACGTTTCCGTCACTACATTCTTAGTGAATGAATGGCAAAGAGAACATTCTGGCCTTTTATGTGTCTTTCTGAAGGTGGGCTAAGACTATGTCTTGCATCCTAGAACCTGATATTTTCCACTTGACACTTCCTTCACGTTCTGTGTCTAAAGGCTAAGGGCTTTAATGGACTAAGAAATAGGTAATTAGTTGAAAATCAGATTCTGCCAGGAGTGGTGGGCACAGGCCTGAAATCCCAGCTACTCTAAAGTAGAGAGTGAAGAATCTCAATTAAAAGCTAAAAAGTTAGTGGGACCTCCATCTCAAGTAACAAATGAGGTGTTGTGGGTGGTCCCTGTGATCCCAGCCATCAAGGAGGCATGGTTAGGAGGATCAGGGTGCCACGCTGGCACTGAGCAAAATAGAGATCTTAATCAAAACATAACTAAAGTGAAAAGGGCGGGGGGCATGGCCAGCAAGTGCAAAGCACTAAGTTCAAACCTCAGTAGTGCAAAAGGTGGCGGGGAAAGCGGAGAGGCAGGTCCTCCAGTGCACGTGGGACATTCTCCCCGGCTGCCATCTCCCAGATCGAGAGCTCACCTGATCTCAGGTAAAGCACGTGAACCCTAACTTTAAGGAAAAGTAGGTGGAGCCAAGAGTTCAGCAGACCTATTGTGCAACCGATGATTTGAAAATCCAGGCGAGTGGGGGGGGGGGGGAGGGATTACATTTCCTTGAACGACAAAGGCACACACCGGCTCCCGAAAGCACGCCAGAGTGCTTAAGGCCCACAGATGTCTGTCATGCAACTTCACTGTATTAGTTTAGTTCATCGTCCTGTGCCAACGTCAGTTTCCGGGTTGCGATACCGGGTCTTACGTAAGATGCGGAGGGGAGCTGGGTGTTGGGTGTACGGAACTTCTCAGTACTCATTTTGCCACTTCACGCGAGGCTGTAATTGTTTCAAAGTAAATAAAACAAAACAGCAGGAACTTCCCCAGCCCCGCCGGGTCCAGCTCAGCCCAACCTCCCGACCGCCTCGACCGCACACGTCTAGCCTCACCCTTTGTGCAAACCCGGTGAGGGGGTGAAGCTGGGCAGGGCGGGGCCACGCACGCGCAGCTCTCGCAGGCCCAGCCGCGACTCGCGCATGCGCAAGTCCGGGGCCGGGGCCGCCGCCGCGGCAGCCCCTCAGCACCGCGAGGGGACCCAGGGGTGTCTTGGCCCCTCCGCGCCGCCGTCTTTTCCGGCAGTTGGGACGCTTCCTGTTGTCCCCGTTGACAACGGCTCCTCAGACCCCGACCTCGGAGCCCCCCTCGCACGTCCCCTCGGTCCTCCGGCGGGCCGGCGGCTGCCGCTGGATCTTCGTCCGCCCGCACGTCGAGAGGGCTGCGGGCCGCGCCACGCCCCGGGCTCGGGTGAGTGCCCTTCCCGGGCGCGCTCCGCCGGCGCCGCTTCCCGCGGCCCGCGCGCTCGTTCTTGCTCACCTCCTCGCTTTCGTTCTCTGCCGAGGCTGCTCGTCGCGGGCCCCGGGGCCGCCGTCCCGGCGCTGCCGTCCGTGAGTGCGGCGGGGTGGGCGCGCGGGGTGCGGCGCGCCGCTCCCCTCTCCCTCTCCCCGCCGCCGCCCTCCTAGGTCGCCCCCTTCCCCGGGGTGGGAGCCAATGAACCCCGCCCCGGGGCGGGGTGCCTCGGAGCCCGCGCCTTCCCCACCGTCCGTTTCAGGACCCCGGGCTTCCCTGAGCCGTCGAAGCGCCGGGACACGTAGCGACCACTCCCCGCCGGCGGAGAGGGACAAGTCCGGCCGAGAGTGGGGGAAATCGGCGTCACCCGGCGTGCGGGGCGGCCGGTGGACACACCGGGAAGTGACCCAGACGCGAGGGGGAAGCTTGTCCTTTCGTCCTTTGCTCGCTCACCGCCCACCCCGGCTGTCACTCAGCCAGCCAGTGCGTCTGACGTCCTGAGAACAGGGTCCCGCTCACCCCAGACGGCCCTCCCCGGCGCACATCAAAAAGCAGGGTTATTGTTTTGTTTTGTTCCCGAGTTAACCTTTCTGTAAGCAGGCGCTCCATCACTTGAGCCATTCTGGCAGTTCCCCAGTCAATCTTCTTCTTCTTTTTTTTTTTTCTAAATTCTCTCTTTTTTAGGTACTAAGTATACAGCACCGTATGTGAATTGGGGGAAAATTATGACAAGTATAGGACAAGGAGTTTGCCCCCCTCCTCTTTCCCTCTTCCCCTCTCCCCCCCCCCCTTCCCTCTCTCCTACTCTATAGGCTTTCTGCCCAGTCTGGCCTTGATCCTCAAGCCGCAGTCTCCTGAGTGCTGAGATTACAGCCTGTACCACCACGCCCTGCTCATGGTGTTTGCTTTTCAGTTGCTCACAGTTCAGAAGGAAAGATTTAGACATGTGTGTGTGTGTGTGTGTGTGTCTGTCTGTGTGTCTGTGTGTCTGTGTCCCTGTGTCCATGTCCTTGGTCTTGAACTCCCTGCCTGGCATTCCCCCTGAGTTTGTCTTTTTTTTTTTTTTCTACTCAAGGCTAGCAATCTACCACTTGAGCTGCAGTTCCACTTTTGGCCTTTTGGTGGTTAATTGGAGAAAAGAGTCTCTCAGACTTACCTGCCTGGGCTGGCTTTGAACCATGATCCCTCAGATCTCATCCTCCTGAGTAGCTAGGATTATAAGCGTGAGCTGCTGGTAACCCAGCAGACGTGTGATTTAATTTATTTTATTTTTTGTTGGTCATGGGAGCTGAACTCTGGGCCTGGGCATTGTCCCTCAGTTCTTCGGCTCAAGGTGAGCACTCTACCACTTGAGCCACTGCGCCACTTCAGGTTTTCTAGTGGTTTATTGGAGATAAGAGTCTCATGGACTTTCCTGCCCAGGCTGGCTTTGAACCATGATCTTCAGATCTCAGCCTCCTGAGTAACTAGGATTACAGGGCCTCTTGCATGAGAGGCAAGCACTCTACCACTGAGCCAACTTCCCAGCCCCATGTAATTTTTATTCTTATTATTTTTGTTGGTTGTGGAGCCTGAACTCTGGGCCTGGGTGCTGTCCCTCAGCTTTTCCACTCAAGGCTAGTACTCCACCATTGAGCCACCACACTACTTCTGCCTTATACTTGTTTTTTTTTTGGGTCCGGTCGTGGGGCCTGAACTCTGGGCCTGGGCGCTGTCCCTCAGCTCTTCAGCTCAAGGCTAGCACTCTACCACTTGAGCCATAGCGCCACTTCCGGCTTTTTTCTTTTTGCTTATGTGGTGCTGAGGAATCGAACCCAGGGCCTCAGGCATGCAAGGCAAGCACTCTACCACTGAGCCACCTTCCCAGCCCCCTGGCTTATGCTTGTGATTCTTGAGAAACATTTTTTTTTTTTTTTGGGTCCGGTCATGGGGCCTGAACTCTGGGCCTGGGCGCTATCCCTCAGCTCTTCAGCTCAAGGCTAGCGTGCTACCACTTGAGCCATAGCACCACTTCGGACTTTTTTTTCCCCCTGCTTATGTGGTACTGAGGAATCGAACCCAGGGCCTCATGCATGCAAGGCAGCGCAAGCGCTGTACCACTGAGCCACCTTCCCAGCCCTCTTGAGGAACAATTTCATCTCAAGTTGAAGTGTCCAGATGAGAGGTAATGGGTTGTTGGTCACAAGGGAATAAAGTATTGGTGACAGCAAAGTTATTTATAGAGATAACAGTTCCTTTGTAAACTTAAGTGAACCCAGCCTAACTATCTAGACTGAATTAAACTGTGGTTTTCCTTGACCTCCTTTTAAGTTTGAAGTTCTCATCCCTGGCTTTTATTAGGATCGTATCCTTTTCTTAATCTATTTAAACTTTGAAGAACTTCTCAACTATCTATTATAATTGCCTAACAGAGTTGAAGGAGAATGAAACAAATTTTACAAGACCTCCAGTGACCTGTGTTGACTTACAGAAAGCATAAGGGAAAGCCCTGTGGTAAAAAGCACTTGGTTGACCCAGGAAACCTTTGAATTGCTGTTAGGCAATGTTAATTGTCTCCTGATTAAAGGTTATTAGAGTTAGACTAAACCTTTTCTCAATGGAGGAAGTAGAGGAGGAGAGGATTTGAAGAAAAGTTAAAAGGAATGACATCCCTGCTTTACTATTACATTAGACATAGATCCTGTAAGATGAGAATCATTCTGCTGAAGAATTTGTTGACCCTAATATCTGAGCATCTTTTTTTTGTTATTGTTGTTGTTGGTTGTGGGGCTTGAACTCTGGGCCCGAGCGCTGTTCCTCAGCTCTTTAGCTCAAGGCTAGTGCTCTACCACTTGAGCTAGAGCGCCACTTCAATTTTCTGGTGGTTTATTGGAGATAAGAGTTTCATGGACTTTCCTGCCCAGGCTGGCTTTGAATTGTGGTCCTCAGATCTCAGCCTCTTGAGAAGCTAGAACTACAGGCATGAGCCACCAGTGCCTGGCTTATATAAGCATCTTTTTTTTTTTTTGCCCTTGGGGCCTGAACTCTGGGCCTGGGTGCTGTCCCTCAGCTCTTCAGCTCAAAACTAGAATGCTAGTTTTAGCATTCTACCACTTGAGCCACAGTGCCACTTGCAGCTTTTTCTGTTTATGTGGTGCTGAGGAATTGAACCCAGGGCCTCATGCATGCTAGGCAAGCGCTCTACCACTGAGCCACCTTCCAAGCCATTATGAGCATCTTTGAGTGTACTTGGTACCTGTTGATCTTTTGTTTGAAAAGTTTAGGGAGTAATGGCAATCAATCATTTTTTGGGGGCAGGGGGAATCAGCTTGTGCTTGTTGAGTAAGCATTCGTACTGAGCTATATCCCCAGCTCAAGTTAAAACTTTATTATTTTTTTGCCAGACGGGGGATTTGAATATGGCCTGGACATTGTTTCTTCTTCTTCTCCTTTTTTTTTTGGTTGGTCATGGGGCTTGAACCTGGGCACTATTTCTGAGCTTCTTTTGCTCAAGGCTGGCACTCTATCACTTGAGCCAGAGCGCCACTTCTAGCTTTTTCTGCTTTTATGTGGTGCTGAGGAATCGAACCCAGGGCCTCATGTGTGCAAGGCAAGCACTCTACCACGGAGCCACCTTCCCAGCCCCATATCTCAGCCTTTTGAGTGGCTAGGATTACAGGTGTGAGCCACTGGCAACAGCTACAACTGAAAATCTTGTTGAATTTAAGACTAATTGTTCATTATATTGAAGGTATTGTTTACTTCATATTTAAGTACTCTCATATTTTTCTGTTAATAGTTTCAGTTGTTAAAATGTAACTGCATATATATGAAGAGCGTCCAGAAATCTTCAGACAGGGGAAGAGTACCCAGCTCTCACTTAGACTTCTTTTTTTTTATGTATGGTTTTAAGTTTTTCTTCACCAAACACACTTAGGGTACATGTGGTTTTCATTGTGGGTGGAGGGGGTACAGGCTGACAAATAAGGAACCACACCCATGCTTCAAAAACCAGTGTTTTTTTTTTTTTTTTTTTTTGGTGAGACAAGGTATTGCTATGTAGTCCAAAGCTAGAGATACTCTGCTTAAACCAGAAGTTAAAAAATTGCTCTTTTATTCTGGAAGCATTTGAGCTTGCTTTGATAGTAGGAGCTTCACCATTAATTTATGGTAAGGTAGCTCTGAGCGCAATGTCTTGAATTTGTGTCTTTGAATTTGAATCTGAATGCTTGATAATTGAAGTATAGCCATGACTTTGAATCTCTGCTCTCAGAGTATTATTCATTATATTACTTTATTTTTTATTTTTTGGGGTCCGGTCGTGGGGCCTGAACTCTGGGCCTGGGCACTGTCCCTCAGCTCTTCAGCTCAAGGCTAGCGCTCTACCACTTGAGCCACAGTGCCACTTCCAGCTTTTTTCTTTTTGCTTATGTGGTGCTGAGGAATCGAACCCAGGGCCTCAGGCATGCAAGGCAAGCACTCTACCACTGAGCCACCTTCCCAGCCCAATATATGGTGTTATTTTTTTTCTCTTTTTTTTTGGTCATGGGGCTCGAACTCTGGGCCTGGGCGCTGTCCCTCAGCTCTCCAGCTCAAGGCTAGCACTCTACTTGAGCTATATCACCATTTCCGCTTTTCCTCGTGGCTTATTGGAGATATGAGTTTCATGGACTTTCTTGCCTGGGCTGGCTTTGAACCATGATCCTCAGATCTCAGTCTCCTGAGTAGCTGGAATTACAGGCATTAGCCACTGGGGCACCGCTATATGACTTATTTTTCTTTGGTGTTTAAAAAAAAACTACTGCAAAGCCTTTTTTTTTTTTTTTTTTTGGTCCAGTTGTGGGGCCTGAACTCTGGGTCTGAGCGCTGTCCCTCAGCTCTTCAGCTCAAGGCTAGCACTCTACCACTTGAGCCACAGCGCCACTTCTGGCTTTTTTTTCTTTTTGCTTATATGGTGCTGAGGAATCGAACCCAGGGCCTCAAGCATGCAAGGCAAGCACTCTACCACTGAGCCAACTTCCCAGACCTTTTTTTTTTTTTTAATGAGGATTTTTCACATTCCTTACCTTAGTTTAACCTAAACCATATTCCCAGCCCTTGGGGATTATCTTTAAAAAAATTTTTTTGGCCAGGCACCTGTAATCCTAGCTACTAAGTAGGCTAAGATCTGAGGATCACGGTTCAAAGTCATCCTGGGCAGGAAAGTCTGTGAGACTCTTATCTCCAGTAAAACACCAGAAAAAGGGAAGTGGCGCTGTGGCTCAAGTGGTAGAGTGCTAACCTTGAGTTGAAGAGCTGAGGGACAGCGCCCAGGCCGAATTCAAGCCCCACGACTGATAATAAATAAACAAACAAACAAATAAATAAAAATTACCTTTAAGTAGTTTTACAAAGAGTTTTCAATTCAACATGTCAGTTTATGAATGGCATCTTGATCAGTGCCACTTGTTTTTATAATTTTCTATTAGCTTTCATTAAAGAGGAGGATTTCATTGTTACATTCCCATACATGTTTACAATATATTCCATCAGTCTTTCCCCTTCAAACTCACACTTCTCCACTTTCCAAAACAATTTCAGCAAGTTTTCAGTTTTTATACTTGCAAACAATCTATTTTGATCTTGTTCGTTCTCTTTCAAAATGTATTTCAAAATTATTCACTCTTGCTAGGTGCCAGTAACTGCCTTTGATAGCAAAAAATACTGTGTGTGTGTATATATGTGTGTGTGTGTACATATGTATATATGTGTGTATATGTATATATGATATGTATGTATCTATGACTCATGAATATGGTAGTTTGAACTCATGGGCTGTGTAGTTTGAACCACAGCAGTATCCTGTATTCTCAATTTATGTCTGTGGTGTTACGATCTTGTGGCATTGTGATCTTGTACTTGTGTACTCCCGCCCCCCTCCCTCCCTCCCTTCCTTCCTTTCTTGCTTCTTGCTTTTTTTGGTGGTACTATTGTTTGGACTCTGCCTTAAACTTGCAAGGCTGGTGCTCTACTTGTACAATTTTCTCTTTCTCTCTCTTTTTTCTTTGGTGCAGGGCCTGGTGCTATCCCCTAACTTTTCTGCTCAAGGCTAGTGCTCTAGCTCTACTACTTTGAGCTACAGTTCCACTTCAGGTTTTCTGGTGGCTAATTGGGGATAAGAATCTCATGGACTTTTCCTGCCTGGGCTGGCTTTTGAACTCAGATCCTCAGATCTCAGTCTCCTGGTTATGATTACAGATTTGAGCCACCATGTACTATTCTTTTCTTTTCTTTTCTTTTTTGTCAGTTGTGGGTCTTGAATTCTGGGCCTGGGCGCTGTCCCTCAACTCTTCAGCTCAAGGCTAGCGCTCTACCGCTTGAGCCACAGCACCACTTCCAGTTTTCTGGTGGTTAATTTGAGATAAGAATCTCATGGACTTTCCTGCCTGGGCTGGCTTTGAACTGTGATCCTCAGATCTCAGCCTTCTGAGTAAATAGGATTTCCATTGTGATCCACTGGTGCCCATCTTGTTGCATGGTATTTGTTTTTTTTTTTTTTTTTTTGTCGGTTGTGGGGCTTGAACTCTGGGCTTTGGCGCTATCCCTCAGCTCTTCAGCTCAAGGTGAGCACTCTACTGCTTGAGCCACAGTGCCACTTCCAGTTTTCTAGTGGTTTATTGGAGATAAGAGTTTCACATGGGCCTGGGAAGGGGGCTCAGTGGTAGAGCACTTGCCTTGCATGCCTGAGGCCCTGGGTTCGATTCCTCAGCACCACATAAGAAAAAAGAAAAAAGCCGGAAGTAGCACTGTGGCTCAAGTGGTAGAGCGCTAGCCTTGAGCTGAAGAGCTGAGGGACAGCGCCCAGGCCCAGAGTTCAGGCCCCATGACCGGACCAAAAAAAAAAAGTTTCACAGACTTTCCTGCCTGGCCTGGCTTTGAACCACGATCCTCAGATCTCAGCTTCCTGAGTAGCTAGGATTACAGACATGAGCCACCGGCGCCCGGCTTTGCATGGTATTTCTTAATATGCAGCTACTTATTTATTTCTTTATTGAATTACTTCTAGCATCTTATAGCAAATGATTGCATGATGAGCATATTTTATATAATGCACATGCTATGTTCATCCCAGAATCTATATGATCAAGACTAGAAAGTCTTAAGCGTTGGGTTTCTGACTTACAAGACATTAGTGTGTACTTATTCTCACCAATTATTCTGTTTAAATGGTTTTTGTTACATATTATAATTTATACTCACTTCCACGACTAAGTTGTCTTCTCTGTTTCTAGAAGCCATGGCCATGACAGGTTCAACACCATGTTCATCCATGAGTAACCACACAAAAGAAAGAGTGACGATGACCAAAGTAACATTGGAGAATTTTTATAGCAATCTTATTGCCCAACATGAAGAACGAGAAATGAGGTAAAGAGTTATGTTTGAAAGAAATACATATCAGTAGGCTGGGTCTGTCACCCAGTGGTAAAGTGCTGCTGAGCTTGTGTGAGGCCCTGAGTATCATCCTCAGCACTTTGTGGCATTCTTGTCTAACATTGTAAAACACACATTGTTGAAAGAAAACCTGGTTGGTCTTCTTTGCAATAGATGCCTTTACTTCATTGTAGTTTTCCATCCCTGACACCATATCTGTATTGCACATCTGAATCAATATGATAGCTTTCTGTTGGCCTTAGAACTTTTCAGTTGTTTTCCTGCTTGCCAGTCCATCAAATCTACATTCTGCTTGTTGCCATTCTAGAACAGAAATCTCATCACATCATCCCTTTGCTGACTTTTCAGAGTTAGAGCAAACTTGTTAGTGTGGTGTTTGAAGTGCTTTGTGCATGACTAAAGCCCTGCTCAGATTGTCTGCTTATTAGGAGGGCTGTTAAGTGGTGGTAAGATTATAGCTCTTATGCTTTCTTTTTTTTTTTTTTTAAATATGTGCCAATCCTGGGACTTGAACTCAGGGCCTGAGAGCTGTCCCTGAGCTTTTTTCCTCAAGGGAGCACTCTACCATTTAAGGTCTATCTCCATTTTTTTTTTTTTTTGCCAGTCCTGAGGTTTGAATTCAGGGCCTGAACAATGTTCCTGAGCATCTTTTGCTCACGGCTAGCACTCTACCACATGAGCCACAGTGCCACTTCCGGCTTTTTCTGTTTCTGTAGTACTGAATCAAACCCAGGGCTTCATGCATGCAAGGCAAGCATTCTACCATTAAGGCACATTCCAAGCTCCTGGTGGTTAGTTGAAGATAAGAATCTCACAAGAGGGGCTAGGAAGGTGGCTCAGTAGTAGAGTGCTTGCCTTGCATGCTTGAGGCCCTGGGTTCTATTCCTCAGTACCACATAAGCAGAAAAAGCCAGAAGTGGTACTGTGGCTCAAGTGGTAGAGTGCTAGCCTTGAGCTGAAGAGCTGAGGGACAGTGCCCAGGCCGAGTTAAGACCCACAACCGGCAGAAAAAAAAGAATCTCACAAGAAGCTGAGCGTTGGTGGCTCAGGACTGGTTCAGAGCCAGCCCAGGCAGGAAAGTGATGCTGTGGCTCAAGTGGTAGAGTGCTTGCCTTGAGCTGAAGAGCTCAGGGATAGGTGCTTAGGTCCGGAGTTCAAAACCCATGACTGACCAGGAAAAAAAAAGAATATCACAAGGCTTTCCTGTCCAGTCTGGGAGTTTGAAAAAAAAGTAGGGAGACTAGGATCCATGTAGGTATATAAAGCATAGTCCAGCCGGACGTCGGTGACTCACACCTGAAATCCTAGCTACTCAGGAGGCTGAGATCTAAGGATAGTGGTTCAAAGCCAGCCCAGCAGGAAAGTCAGAAAACTTTTTTTTTTGGGTCGGTCATGGGGCTTGAACTCTGGGCTTGGGCACTGTCCCTGTTCTCTTCAGCTCAAGGCGAGCACTCTACTGCTTGAGCCACAGTGCCACTTTTCTAGTTGTTTATTGGAGAGAAGAGTCTCACAGACTTTTCTGCCTGGGCTGGCTTTGAACCACTATCCTCAGATCTCAGCCTTTTGAGTAGCTAGGATTACAAATGGGAGCCACCAGCGCCTGGCCATGAAACTCCTATGTCCAATAAACCATCAGAAAACCGGAAGTGGCCCTGAAGCTCAAGTGGTAGAGCGCTAGCCTTGAGCTGAAGAGCTGAGGGGCAGTGCTCAGGCCCAGAGTTCAAGCTCCACAACCTACAGAAAAAAAAAAAAAAAAAAAAGCATAGTCCAGCTGTGCTTTTTTTTTTTTTTTTTTTGTTGGTTGTGGGGCCTGAACTCTGGGCCTGGGTGCTGCCCCTCAGCTCTTCAGCTCAAGGCTAGCGCTCTACCACTTGAGCCACAGCGCCACTTCTGGCTTTTTTCTTATGTGGTGCTGAGGAATCGAACCCAGGGCCTCATGCATGCAAGGCAAGCACTCTACCACTGAGCCACCTTCCCAGCCCCCCCAGTTGTGCTTTCTTTATTTTATTCTTTTAATTTTATTGTCAAGGTGATGCACAGAGGGTGTGCTTTCTTTAATATGCTGAATAAATGGAGTTCTGAGAATGGTTGTAAGGAAGTTTTACTTGGTTCTTTTAACTATTAAATCAGTATGAGGCCAGGTGTGTGTGGCTTATGCCTGGAATCCTTACTACTCAGGGAGCTGAGATCTGAGAATTGCTGTTGGAAACCAGCATAGGCAAGAAATCTGTGAGTCTCTTTTTATTGTTTTTGTTTTTTTTTGGGTCTGGTCGTGGGGCTTGAACTCTGGGCCTGGGCACTGTCCCTCAGCTCTTCAGCTCAAGGCTAGCGCTCTACCACTTGAGCCACAACGCCATTTCCGGCTTTTTCCTTTTTGCTTATGTGGTGCTGAGGAATCGAAAACAGGGCCTCGAGCATGCAAGGCAAGCGCACTGAGCCACCTTCCCAGCCCCAATGAGTGCATTTCTTTTTTTTGTTGTTGTTTTTTTTTGGTCGGCCATGGGGCTTGAACTCTGGGCTTGGGCGCTGTCCCTCAGCTCTTCAGCTCAAGGCTAGGGCTCTACCACTTGAGCTACAGCGCCACTTCCTCTGTGAGACTCTTATCTCCAATAAACTACTTAGAAAAAGCTAGAAGTGGCTCAAGTGGTGGAGCACTAGGCTTGAGCAAAAGAAACTCAGGGATAGTGCTCAGGCCCTGAGTTCAAGGCCCAGGCCTGGAGGCAGTGCAGGGGTGGGGGGGGGCATGCAAAAAATACCCACAAAACTAGTATGAGACTGAAGATCAAGTGGTGGGAAGCTATAACCTCTCAGCACAAATAAGAAAGCCTTGGCTGCAGTTTCCTCCTACCCTTCCTCCTACCTTCTCTCTTTTGACTTTTTTGGGGGGAGGCAGGGTCTTACTATTAGCTTAGGCTGCTCTGAAAGTTGGCTCTGTGGCCTAGACTTGTGGTTTGCTCAGGTTGATTTGCTCATGCTTTGCCACTTGAAACATGCCTCCAGCCAAGCTTTTTTTGCTGGTCATGGGGCTTGAACTCTGGGGCTGGGTGCTGTCCCTCAACTCTTCAGCTCAAGGCTAGCACTCTACCACTTGAGCCACAATGCCACTTTTGGTTTTCTGGTGGTTAAGTGGAGATAAGAGGTTCATGGACTTTCCTGCTCCGGCTGGTTTTGAACCATGATCCTTAGATTTCAGCGTCTTGAGTAGCTAAGATTACATGTGTGAGCCACTGGTGCCCAGCTCAGCCAGGCTTTTTGCTGGTTAGTTTGGACTCTTGTTTGGACTCTTATTTGTGGACTTTTCTGCCCAGACGCGTGCGTGCGTGTGTGCGTGTGTGGTGTCCAGTCCTGGACCTGGGTATTTGACAGTGTCTCTTAGCTCTTTTGCTCAAGGCTGATGCTCTACGACTTGAACCACAGCTACACTTCCTGTTTTTTTCTGAGTAGTTTATTGGAGATAAGAGTCTCATGGACTTGCTTGCCTAGACTGGCTATTTTTTGGCCAGTCCTGGGGCTTGAACTCAGGGCCTGGGCACTGTCTGTGAGTTTCTTTTGCTAAAGGCTAGCACTCTACCACTTGAACCACAGCGCCACCTCTGGCTTCTTCTTTTTATGTGGTAATGAGGAATCAAACCCAGGGCTTCCTGCATGCTAGGCTAAGCCACATTCCCAGCCCCCAAGTTCTAAGTTTTGACACTCATACCATTTGCTTTTTGTGATCATTTCACTCCCCCACCCCAAATTTTCTCTTCCTTTGTTGGTTATTACTATGCTTGTGGCAGGGTGAAGAGGAAGATATAAAAATAAAGGAAGTAAATTTTAGCCAGAGAGGGAGAAAACACTGTGACATGAGAAGTTACCAAATACTAGCTGGTTTTGGTTTAGTAAGAAGGAAATGACAGGGAGAGGGAGAATGGAGGGGGAAGAAGGGGAGATTTGTTTTTTTTTTTTTTGTGTCCCGTCGTGGGGCCTGAACTCTGGGCCTGGGCACTGTCCCTCAGCTCTTCAGCTCAAGGCTAGTGCTCTACCACTTTGAGCCCCAGTGCCACTTCCGGCTTTTACTGCTTATGTGGTGCTGAGGAATTGAACTAAGGGCCTCATGCATGCAAGACAAGCACTCTACTAATGAGCCACCTTCCCAGCCCAAGATTTGGTTTTGAAACAAGAGTTTTTGTTGGGAAGGGGAAACAAAGGAGGAGGCTACAATGCTTGATCAGAAATGTACTCATGGGCTGGGAAGGTGGCTCAGTGGTAGAGCGCTTGCCTTGCATGCCTGAGGCCCTGGGTTCGATTCCTCAGCACCACATAAGCAAAAAGAAAAAAGCCGGAAGTGGCGCTATGGCTCAAGTGGTAGAGTGCTAGCTTTGAGCTGAAGAGCTGAGGGACAGTGCCCAGGCCCAGAGTTCAGGCCCCACGACCGGACCAAAAAAAAGAAATGTACTCATTATCTTGCCCATGTAATTGTAACCTCTCTGTACAGTATTTTCACAATAAAAAATAAAATAAAATAAAAGTTTTTGTTGCATTAACATCTTCTATAGTCTTGGAAATATAGATTTAACACGGATAGGAATCGTCACTTGTCTTAATCTGATTTTTTTCTTTTAATTAGACATTTTATACTTAACTGTTTTTGTTATTTTTCCCCAAAACCAGATATGTATGAATAGAATTATCAGTTATTTAAATGTTACTTCCTATATTTTTGCTGTTTGTTTTAGACAAAAGAAGTTAGAGAAAGTGATGGAAGAAGAAGGCCTAAAAGATGAAGAGGTAAATAATATTGGCAGTTGTTTTTCCTGACCAGGGTGAAAGGTTGTGGCACTAAGTTAACCCTGGGGGAGGATTTTGGCTCAGTCACAGAAGAACCTGAGGGATAGCATGCTTCTGAATTTCTTGGGAAAAGCTAATTATTGAGTACCTATGAGAGGAATACTTGTCTAGGCATAGTTTCATAGTTTGATGTAGAATTCCAAGAAAAGGAAAGGATGAAATCAGCTGGGCTTAAGTGGCTTATGCCTATAATTAATTCTAGCTACTTGGGAGGTAGAGTTCAGGGGAATCCTGATTTGAGGCAAAAAGTTTATGAGACTCTTACCTCAACCAATAGCTGGGCTTGTCGCTGTTCACTAGAAATTTTAGAATAATGGGCTGCAAAAGTAGAATAGCAGTAGGTGGCATGTACCTGTCATCTCAGCTATATGAAAGCATAAAAAGGAAAATGGTGAACCAGTCTGGCACAAGCATAAAAGCAAGACTTTACCTCAAAGGTAACTAAAATAAAAAGTGATAAGGAGGCTTGCCTGGAGGATAGAGCGCCTGCCTAGCACATTCAAGGCCTGAGTTCAAACCCTAGTATTGCTAAACAAAGAAAAGATGGCCCGTGCTGGTGGCTCATATCAGTAATCCTAGCTACTGAAGAGACTGAAATCTGAGGAATCTTGGTTCAGAGCCAGCCCGGGCAAGAAAGTCAGTCTCCAATTAACTACTAAAAAGTCAGTTGTAAAGCTGTGGCTCAAGTTGTAGAGCACTAGCCTTGAGCACAAAAGCTCAGGAACAGCGCCAAGGCCCTGAGTTGAAACCCCTGGATTGGCACAAAAAAAGAAAGAGAAAAGAAAAAAGGTGAAATTATTGATATCAAATTATTATTTATCTTTGCTGGTCCTGGTGATTGAACTTGGCTTGATCACTAGCTCTTAGTATTTTATTTATTTATTTTTGCTGGTCTTGGGGCTTGAACTCAGGACCTGGCCACTGTCCCTGAGCTTTTTTTGCTCAGGCTAGCACTCTACCTCTTGAGCCACAGTGCCACTTCTGGCCTTTTCTGTTTATGTGATACTGAAGAATCCAACCCCGGGCTTCATGCATGCTAGGCAAGCACTCTACCACTAAGCCACATTCCCAGTTCTCTGTTAGCTTTTTTGCTCAGGGCTAGCATTCTTGAACATAGCTGCCCTTCTAGAGTTTTGGTAGTTAATTGGTGGTAAGAGTCTCACAGACCTCCCTGCCTGGGCTTGCTTGCTTCGAACCATAATTCTCCGATCTTAGCCTTCTAAATAGGATTACAGGTATGAGCCACCAAGGCCCAGCCAAATTAAAAAAAATTTTTTTTTTGGGGGGGGGGTCCGGTTGTGGGACCTGAACTCTGGGTCTGTGCACTGTCCCTCAGCTCTTCAGCTCAAGGCTAGCACTCTACCACTTGAGCCACAGCACCACTTCCGGCTTTTTTCTTTTTGCTTATGTGGTGCTGAGGAATCGAACCCAGGGCCTCATGCATGCAAGGCAAGCGCTTTACCACTGAGCTACCTTCCCAGTCCCCCAAATTAAAATTTAAGAGAACAAAGTAAGCATTCTTATAAAGTTCACTAAAAAGTTTTCAATAAGACAAATTTCTTAAATCATTGTCAAACAAAGTACTTATCCTAAATCAGCCCTCTGCCCATTGTTCACAGATATCATGGGAGAAAATAATTAAGACTAGACTAGCCTTTGGAAAACAGTGCAAATGGCTGAGTAATGCAGATTCTCCTTCAATGCTTAAGAACACTTTCAGAGATTTAGGATGTAGCTTAGTTATCACTAGAAGAAGTAGTAATGTCAGGCACCAGTGGCCTGTAAAAAATCCTAGCTACTCAGGAGGCTGTGGTTCAAAGTGAGCCTTAGCAGAAGTTTTGTGAGACTCTTGTCTCTAGTTAACCACCAGAAAACAAGAAGTGGCACTCTGGCTCAAGTGGTAGAGTGCTGTCCTTGAGCTGAAGAGTTGAGGGACAGTGCTCAGGCTCAGAGTTCAAGCCCCATGACCGACAAAAATAAATAAATAAATAAATAAGGGGGCTGGGAAGGTGGCTCAGTGGTAGAGCACTTGCCTCACATGCTGGGTTCCATTACTCAGCACCACATAAACAAAAAGAGCCTGAAGTGGGTGCTGTGGCTCAAATGGTAGAGTGCTAACCTTGAGCTGAGGAGCTGAGGGACAGCGCCCAGGCTCAGAGTTCACGCCCCATGACCAAAAAAAAAGACTACCTCCAGTTTAGAGTGTGACTCAAGTGGTATAAATGCCTGCCTAACAACTGTGAGGATCTGAGTTCAAACTCCAGTATTGCCAGATGTGTTAGTAACTAAATAGTGCTTGGAATGCCTTCAGGAATAAGAATGGGGCTGGGAAAGTGGCTCAGTAGTAGTAGAGTGCTTGCCTGACATGCATGAGGCTCTGGGTTCGTTTCCTCAGCACTACATAATCAGAAAAAGCCAGAAATGGCACTGAGGCTGAAGTGGTAGAGTGCTAGCCTTGAGCTGAAGAGCTGAGGGACAGTGCCCAGGCCCAGAGTTCAAGCCCCATGATCACTCCCACCCCCCACCCCCCCAAAAAAAAACTAATGAATCACAGACCCAGGACTGAGGCAAAAGCAACCAACACACTTAGGAATAATGGGAAGTTCTAGTATCCTGGGAAAGCCCAGAGGGAAATAAAAAGATACTTTTATGTTGTGTAAAAGATTAAAGGAAAATGTTGATTTTTTTTTTTTTCTGTTCACTAGAAATCTTAGAATAGGGGCTGCTGAAGTAGAACAATCAGGTTTTCAGAGGAAGCTGTGTTTCTGAAAGTCAGGGGAGGGAGGGAGGACCTCTTGAGGGTGCTGTCTCGTGTAAGATTGTGCCTAGTTTCGTGTGGCCCTGCTTTCTATTTCTAGCTGGACAAGACATAGATGAGGGCCTGGGAAGGTGGCTCAGTGGTAGAGCGCTTGCCTTGCATGCCTGAGGCCCTGGGTTCAATTCCTCAGCACCACATAAGCAAAAAGAAAAGAAAAGCCAGAAGTGGTGCTGTGGCTCAAGTAGTAGAGTGCTAGCCTTGAGCTGAAGAGCTGAGGGATAGCGCCCAGGCCCAGAGTTCAGGCCCCACGACCGGACCCCCAAAAAAAAAAAGACAAAGATGATTTTTGTTGCAGTTCCAGAATTACCCACTCTTCCTGTTTTCCTCCCTCCATTATTTAAATATTAGAAGCGACTCAGGAGATCAGCACATGCTCGGAAGGAAACAGAGTTTCTTCGTTTGAAGAGAACAAGACTTGGATTGGAAGATTTTGAATCCTTAAAAGTCATAGGCAGAGGAGCATTTGGTGAGGTAAAAACCACAGCTATATATCAAATATAAAACACTGTAGAAGTCATGTGCCTGTGGCTCATGCCTGTAATCCTAGCTACTGAGGAAGCTGAGATATGAGGATCTCAATTCAAAGCCAACCTGGGCAGGAAAAGTCCGTAAGACTCTTATCTCCAATAGACCATCAAAAAACCAAAAGTGCTACTGTGGTTCAAGTGGTAGAGTGCTAGCCTTGAGTTGAGTTGCTGAGGGAGAGCACCCAGGCCTGAGTTCAAGCCCCATGACCAGGGCCCCCCCCCCAAAGTTACTTTATTTTAAATTACAAGACATTTTTCTTGTATGTATCAGTTGTCATTTTGTTGTAATTGTTGCTCTAATTTATTTAGGTATTCTGAGGTGCCTGGATGATACATGCCAGGGGTATAACTTCTCCTTAAGTTTGAAACTGAAGGTGATATTAGATTATTTTTTTCAACTAGGAAGTCCAAGTTGCTCGGATGCTGAGATTTTTGAGGATGCTTTTAGCACTCACAGTGCTGTGCAGAAAGTATTTGTTTTGAAACATTGGAAAGCAGTTTCTTCTGTTTTGTTACTACTAGTTGCTATATTTAAATTATAGGATTTTCAAGTGTCATACTGTGGGACCTGGGGTTCCAGCACCAAGTGACAAATGCTTTCTCTAACAAGCAAAAGCATTAGTGTGAAATTTTTTTTTTCTTAGTTATGGGGCTTGAACTCTGGGCCTGGGTGCTGTCCCTCAGCTCTTCAGCTCAAGGTTAGCACTCTATACCACTTGAGCCACAGCACCACTTCTGATTTTCTGGTGGTTTGTTGGAGATAAGAGTCTCGCGGACTTTCTTGCCTCCTGATTACAGGCGTGAGCCACTAGCACCTGGCTTAGTGTGAACTTTTGACTTAGCATTTCTTTTATATCTTCAGGTGCGGCTTGTTCAGAAGAAAGATACAGGGCATGTGTATGCAATGAAAATCCTTCGTAAAGCAGATATGCTTGAAAAAGAACAGGTAAAGAGCAGCACAGCCAGAGTGCTTTAAGTCAGCTCATGCTAGGAGTTTTGTCTAATAAAACTGTTCTTTAGCTTAATGAAATGTGTATTTTGGAAAGTGGCTCTGTGGCTCAAGTGGTAGAGTGCTAGCCTTGAGCTGAAGAGCTCAGGGACAGAGCCCAGGCCTAGAGTTCAAGCCCCATGACAACCCAAAAAAAAAAAAAGAAGTATATTTTGTTAGCTTTCGTAAGCTCTGTTACATATGACTTTACATACTATGTTTTCCCCTTATGAAGAGGTAGTTATAAAAATATAAGTACAAATACTGTCTATGGGTTATATATAGCCTTAAAAGTTTTCTTTTCTTTTTTTTTTTTGGGTCCGATCATGGGGCCTGAACTCAGGGCCTGGGCGCTGTCCCTCAGCTCTTCAGCTCAAGGCTAGCGCTCTACCACTTGAGCCACAGTGCCACTTCCGGCTTTTTTCTTTTTGCTTATGTGGTGCTGAGGAATCAAACCCAGGACTTCATGCATGCAAGGCAAGCACTCTACCACTGAGCCACCTTCCCAGCCCTTTCTTTTCTTTTTGGTCAGTCGTGGCGCTTGAACTCTGGGCCTGGGCACTGTTCCTCAGCTCTTTAGCTCAAGGGTAGTACTTTTACCACTTGAGCCACAGCACCATTTCTGGCTCTTTCTGTTTATATGGTGCTGAGTTATCAAACCCAGGGCCTTCTACCTGTGAGGCAAGCACTCTACCACTGAGCCACATTCTCAGTCCCAGTCTTAAAATGTTGAAGTCTATTAGAGAAACAGTTGCTGTATGAGTCTCCTTGTTGATTCCTAGGTGTCTTTCTCATAAGAACCTCTCCAATAGCTGGGTGCCGGTGGCTCATGCCTGTAATCCTAGCTACTTAGGAGGCTGGGATTTGAGGATCGCAGTTCAAATCCAGCCCCGGCAGGAAAAGTCTGAGAGACTTTTATCTCTAGTAAATCACCAGAAAACCAGAAGTGGTGCAATAGCTCAAATGGTAGAGTCTTTGCCTTGAGCTGAAGAGCTCAGGCACCCAGGCCCAGAGTTCATGCCCCATGACCGAAGAAAAACCAAAACAAAACAAAAAACAAAACAAAAAAAAGAACCTCTCCAAGATTGTATACACATACCACACCCTTCCCCCTAAAATATAATTTGGTATTTACAATGCAAAATGTGTCTTAATGTGGTTCATTCTGTATAGCTAACCCAAAGCTGGGTCTTCTGAATAGCTCATTATTACTTAAGAGACCAGCCTCCCAATTTCTGGATGAATTTGGAAAACAGTGTAGATGGCTGAGTAATGCAGATTTTCCTTTAATGCTTAAGAATACTTTCAGAGATTTGGGATGTAGTTTAGTTATCACTAAGTCAACTTAGCTAGCACTCTACCACTGGAGCCACAGCACCACTTCCGGCTTTTTCTGCTTATGTGGTGCTGAGGAATGGAACCCAGGGCGTCATGTATGCGAGGCAAGCTCTCTACCACTGAGCCACCTTCCCAGCCCTGTACAGTTTCTTATTTCTTCTTCTTCTCTGGATTTTTTTGCCTGTCTTGGGCTTGAACTCAGGGCCTGGATACTGTCCCTGAGCTTATTTTGCTCAAGGCTAGCACTCTACCACTTGAGCCACAGTGCCACTTCTGCTTTTTCTGTTTATGTGGTACTGAGGAATCGAACCCAGGCTTCATGCATGCTAGGTAAGCACTCTACCACTAAGTCACATTCCCAACCCCCTATAAAAACATTTTCAAGGATAAGACCTCATCTATGTAGCTTGTGTCCGCAGTTTTTCTGTTAGTACAGAAGGAAAAACCTTTAGTTTTGATGCCAGTGCACTATTAGTATAGGATGAAGACTGGCTTCTCTCTGCATCACAGTGCCCAAGGTAGCTCGCTCTGTGCCCCTTGTGATACTAATGGAATGGGGAAAGAGACCCTTCTAGTGTGAATTGTACCTCTAGAATTCTTATGTCCTTTACCCTGTAATTCACCTAGCCCCACTTCTAGATCTTGAGACTCCTACTGCCATAAGGGTAAGGTCTTCTTGTAGAGACTGTACTTTTCCTCTTGACGAGTAGAAATGCTACAGCCATCATTCTGCCCTCCCAGCTGAGTAACAACTGGCCACAGTAATGCTTTCTTTTTTCTTTGACTCCCTGCAGTAGGTAGGGGTCCTAATGGGAGCTGGGGGAGCAGGTAAGGGATGTAGTCTTGGACAGTCTTGGTGCCTGGTAGTGGTGAGGTCATACATCAGCTTCAGGGCTGCAGTGAAGCAAGCACACTCATTTTCCACAGCCTTGCTCTTGTATTAAGGTCAAGTACAGGCAGATACTTTCCTTGCTGTGGCTTCACTGCACTATTCCTTAATTACCCTCATGAGTGCAAATAGAAAAATGTAAGTTCTCTGTGCCTTGAAGTTCTTAGAAACTTCCCCAGAGAACAATTTTTTTTTTGGTCCGGTTGTGGGGCCTGAACTCTGGGCCTGGGCGCTGTCCCTCAGCTCTTTAGCTCAAGGCGAGTGCTCTACCACTTGAGCCACAGCGCCACTTCTGGCTTTTTTCTTTTTGCTGATGTGCTGAGGAATCAAACCTAGGGCCTCAGGCATGCAAGGCAAGCGTTCTACCACTGAGCCACCTTCCCAGCCTGAGAACAATTTTTATAGAGATTGAGAGCTCAAATCTGTAAATTTATGTACCTTCAGGCTCCCAAGTAATAACATGGAAGAATGAGCCAAGTTAGATGTAAAACAGGAAAAAAGGTGAGATCTTTCTCCAAATGGAAGAGTACCAGGTTTTGTTGAAGAAATTCTTGTCTTTTCTATTCTGCCCCAAGACCAGAACTCTGTACCTGATGTTTTCTCTCATTGGCTGGAACTACCAACTGAGCCACTCCTCCAACCAAGAAATTACAATAAACACATATGTAGGACATTTATTAATGTCGTGTATATGGTGCTGGTGGTTCCTGCCTGTAATCCTAGCTACTCAGGAGTCTGAGATCTGAGGATAGTGGTTCAAAGCCAGCCTGGCAGGAAAGTTCATGAGAATCTTATTTTCAATTAACCACCAGAAAACCAGAAATGGCACTGTGGCTCAAGTAGTAGACCTCTTACCTTGAGCTGAAGAGCTCAGGGACAGTGCCCAGGCAGAGTTCAAGCCCCAAGACTCCAAAAAAGGGGGGAGGGGGCTGGATTTGCTAATAGAAGTGTTAGTTTGCAAATGTTCTTTTACTTGGAAGATGTTATAAAAACTTAAAAGATTCATAACCCATATTAAAACAAAATCCTTGGGCTGGGAATGTGGCTTAGTGGTAGAGTGCTTGCCTAGCATGCATGAAATCCTGGGTTTAATTCCCCAGTACCACATAAACAGAAAAACCTGGAAGTAGTGCTGTGGCTCAAGTGGTAGAGTGCTAGCCTTGAACAAAAAAAAGAAGCTCAGGGACAGTGCCCGGGCCCTGAGTTCAAGCCTCAGGACTGGCAAAACAAAACAAAACCCCAAAAAACAAATCCCTGTCAAAGGCTTGGACTGGTTTTAATAAACTTACACTTGATTTAAAGGAATTGTGTATCTGTAACACTTAGAAAAGAAAGAGGAAACGTGGGATTGATTATATGTAACGACATTTTGGTTATTATATAAAGTGAATAAAGTACATTTGATATTATCAAACATTATTTTAGCAAGCCAATTCTACCAAACTTCTTGCAACTTGGTCTCTTTTGCTTAATATTTCAGTAAAATGGAAATATCATTGATTGGTATGTTAATGCAGTAAGGATTGATTGAGCTTACTGTGTGCCAGCAGTGAGGTAACTGCTATAATGTCATAGCCTTCTAACATTGTAAGCCAAGGATGAGCATTTGAGGTGTTCTTGCATACTAGGGATGGGGCTCAGTGATAGAGCATTTGCCACGCAGGCACAAGCTCTGGGCTCCATCCCCTAGCACTACTGCCACACCACCACTACCACCACCACCACCACCACCACCACCACAGGCACACACACTCAAACACTGCTAGCCTTGATAGCATTGCAGACACAAGGTAGGGCTTAGTTAGATTGTCACTTTGGGGACTTATTTCTATCATAAGAAAATTGTTAGAACAAAAATTATGCAGAAAAGTGGTAATTTTAACTAATCAATAGTTTAATTGGTGTCACTGTTAAAGTTGCAGTTTGCTTTGAAGCCATTTATAACTCAGTTTTTCATCACTGAATACTTTCCAAGTGTCAGTTGAGTTAGTAGATGTGCCTGAGCTGGTCTTTTGCATCAGCACAAATCCTCAGTCTTTAAATTGTTTAAGCAATATACAGTGTAATAAAGCAGAGTAAGGCTTGTCATTAATCAAATGCGTATACCTCCAGGTTGGCCACATTCGTGCGGAGCGTGACATTCTAGTGGAGGCAGACAGTTTGTGGGTTGTGAAAATGTTCTATAGTTTTCAGGATAAGCTAAACCTCTACCTAATCATGGAGTTCCTGCCTGGAGGTAATTACTTAACAATGAAAGGTCATTTTCCCTTTTTCTTCTGTGGTCTCTCTATCTCATACCAACAATTAACCTTCTACTTTTATTGTGCTTACAAAATTGCTTTTCTGTATTTTGTTTTGTTTTGTTTTCAGGTCTGTAAAGGAGGTCATAGCCTGTCTTGTGCTAGGTGCCTTTCTACAATCTTTGTAACCTTTTCACTCTCATTATTTCAGATGGACATTGCATTTTCTTTTTCCTTTTAAAATGTGTAGGTACAAAGTAGGGAGCTTTTTCACTTTCCTGTTAGTGAAAATCATGTATAATAGATACATCAAGTGACAAAATTGACAAAGTAACAATCCTTACTCCAACTTTTTTTGGTTTCTCTTTCTATAGTTTATTAATAAGGAATGACATTCCTATTGCCTGTTAGTATCAGTTTCCATTTTGAGAGTTCAAGTTTTACATTCCATACTTAGCAGGAACATCTCCTGAGTGACTCCAAAGTAAATTCCGGACAGAACATGCCATCATGCTACGAACACAATCTGTTTCCCAGACAACTGATGAGTTTTAAGCAAAACTGGTGGAGAAAGAAGAGAGCAAGTGTAATTATTACATACTAGTCTTATAATGACCCTTAGTTTAGATCCAGTGTCTTCAGTAATTTTTATTTATTTCTGTTGGTCCTGGAGCTTGAACTCAGGCTGAGCTTTGTGCTCAAGACTAGTACTTTACCACTTGAGCTACAACTCCAATTCCAGTTTTTTGGGTGCTTAGTGGAAAATAAGAGTCTCACAGGCTTTCCTACCTGAGTTGGCTTTGAACCACGATCCTCACATCTCAGCCTTTTGAGTAACTAGGATTGTAGGCGTGAGCTACCAGTGCCTGTCTTCAGTAATTTTTATTAGCAGTTGTTCAAGGTGAGAAAAGAGTCATCTGGCAGAACAAAGAGAAACTTTTTAACACTTAGTTGCTGGTTGTTTTTTTTTGTCAGTTTTGGGCTTTGCACTCAAGGCCTGGGTGCTGCCCCTAAACTCCTTTGCTCAAGGCTGGAGCTCTTCCACTTTGAACCACAGATCCATTCCATTTTTGTTGTTGATGTTGTTTGTTTTTTTGAGTGGTTAACTGGAGATAAGATTCTCTTGGGGACTTTTTTTTACTGGGCTGGCTTTGAACTGTGATCCTCAGATCTCAGCCTCCTGAGTAGCTAGGATTATAGGCGTGGGCCACCAGTCCCTATTATAGATGCTTATTCTTAAACAGTAGCAAGAGCACCATGGCCACTAGCACCACCCTCAGCATGGTCTTCTCAGCCCTCACCTGTACCATCTTTTGTTGCTTCTCATGTCTCCTTGGTCCTGCCCTTTCTACTTGATGCATCTGGCCTGCAGAGCCAAGGACCAGCTGGCCTGAGCTCTCCATCATCTGCACCAGCTGCCTCAAGTGAGGCCATTGGCTGACTTGCCTGGCTGAGAGTGAAGGCCACACAGTGACCTGAGGGCCGCCTGTTGCCTTGCCCCACGTGCCTCCACATGAGTGTCGCCGGGTGATAAGGACTCCCAGTTTTCCAGTGGCTAATTTTTGCCTATAGGAAAAACACCTGCTGTTCCTCAAGAATATGAAAAAGTTTGAATGGAGGTAGTTCTTTTTTTGGGGGGGGGGGGGGGTGGTAGTGGTCCTGGGTCTTGAACTCTGGGCCTGGGCACTGTCCCTGAGCTCTTCAGCTCAAGGCTAGTGCTCTACCACTTGAGCCACAGCACCACTTCCGATTTTCTGGTGGTTAATTGGAGATAAGAATCTCAGGGAATTTCCTGTCGGGCTGGTTTTGAACCACCATTCTCAGGTCTCAGCCTCCTGAGTAGCTAGGATTACAGGCATGAGCCACCAGCGCTCTGCCTTGAATGAAGTTCTTAAAGCAGCTTGATGTTTTGTTAAAATTAGAGTTTTTTTTTTTTTCTGTTTTCTAACAAATATGGTTTCATGTGAGGTTTGAACTGAAGCTTCCTATTTTTCTTAGTTTTAAACTACTTATATGTATTTTCTTTGCTTTTGTCTAACTGTTGTGTTTTAGGATTTGAATCTTTTTTTCTGATATTTTATGTTGTTGATGTGAAGCAGAAATAGTTAAAATTTGACTTTGCAGAAAAGTAAAGAGATTATCATTTAACTGCTAAAAAGGTTTTAAAAGGTAATAAAGGATGCTGGCATGCATGTAAATACCTATAGTAGGGTTGTAGGCAAACCCCTTCTTACCCAGAGAGGTGCTGAGTCAGCTCTGTGCCAAGTGGTTGTGAGCCATCTAGGCCAGGCACCTGCAGCCTCTGTTCACTAGTGCTTTGTTGACTGGCAGAACTGTGATCCTCAGATCTCAGCCTCCTGAGTAACTAGGATTACAGGCAGTGAGTCACCGCCTCCCAGCTTCTCCGAGTGTTTTGTGAATAGAAGTTGGAAAGCTTGTTTTCAGCTTCACCAAATATTTACATTTCAGGTTTTTTTTTGTGTTGTTTTTTTTTTTTTTTTGGTTCCAGAAAGGGGCTACTGTCCCTGAACTTACTTCTCCACTCAAGGCTGCCCTACCACTTGAGCCACAGTGCCATATTCTACTTCTGGCTTTTTGCTAATTTATTGGAAATAAGAGTCTCAAAGACTTTCCTGCTCAGGCTGGCTTTGAACCATGATCCTTAGATCTCAGCCACCTAAGTAGCTAGGATTGTAGGCATGAGTCACCAGTGCCCAGGTTGGCATTTCAGTTCTATAACAATAGCAGCTCAACCAATGTTGAAGTGTCCTTAACTCTAGGTATAAGGAAGTTTGCAGATAAAGTGAAAAGTAACGTAGGTTTTTTTTTTCCCCCCAGTCCAAAAAATTATCCTAAGCAAATATACTTACAGCAAAATTAAACATGGGAGAAGTTACCCTTTTCTCTTAAGAGGAAAATGGAAATCAAAATACATTGGTTAGCATCACATTGGTTATTTTAGTCACAAAAAGTTTTTTTTCCTCTATGGCTGTGATTTTTTTGCTCTTCAAGTATTAGAAATTATTACTTGCCATTTTCCCTTGTAGTAGCAGTGTGGGTCAGTCTCTGAAACACAGGAAAATTCTGATTTGTGTCTTAGTATGGCATATAGAGAAGACATGCCTGCATTGTGGTACTTAACTCATGTTGTGTGTGTGTGTGTGTGTGTGTGTGTGTGTGTGTGTCTGTGTCTATGTCTATGTCTGTGTGTCTGTGTGCATGTGTGGTGGTGGCTTTGTATCTTTTTGCTCCCAGGAGACATGATGACCTTGTTGATGAAAAAAGATACCCTGACTGAAGAGGAGACTCAGTTTTATATAGCAGAAACAGTACTAGCCATAGACTCTATTCACCAACTTGGATTCATCCACAGAGACATCAAACCAGACAACCTTCTCTTGGACAGCAAGGTAATGAGGGATTAGAATTATGGGGAGTGTGTTTTGCTTACACAAGCAGCCTTAGTATAGTTTGTTTGTTTGTTTGTTTGTTTGTTTTTTACAGGTAAGTTTGCTGTCATTTCTTATCTTTGAAGGCTTATGATTCTGTAACCTGATTGGACCTCTCTCCCTCCCTCCTTCTCTCTCTCTCTCTCCCTCTCCCTCTCTCTCTCTCTCTCTCTCTCTCTCTCTCTCTTTCTCTTCATGATCATGGTGTTTGAACTTAGAGCCTGTGCACTGTTTCTGAGCTTTTGTGCTCAAGACTACCACTTTGAGCCACAGTGCCACTTCTAGCTTTCTGGTGGTTAATTGAAGATAGAGTCTTACAGACCTTCTGCCTGGGCTGTCTTTGCACCATAATCTTCAAAACTCAGCCTTCTGAGTAGCTAGGATTACAGGCCTGAGCCACCAGTACCTGGCTTGAACATTTCTTTTAAAAGTAAAGGTTCAAATAATGGAGAAAAAAGTAAAGAAGCCAGGCCCCAGTGGCCCATGCCTGTAATACTAGCTACTCAAGAGTTTGAGATTTTGAGGATCACAGTACAAAGCCAGCCCAGGGAAGGAAAGTCTTGTGAGACATCTCCAAATGCGTGCCAAAAAAGCTGAAGTGGAGCTGTGGCTCAAGTGATAATGCCAGCTGTCAGTGACAAAGCTAAGGGACAGTGTCCAGACTGCTGAGGTCAAGCCCCAGACGGGCATTACAAACGAAAACAAAAAACACATTGGGTATGGTGGCTTATGCCTATAAGCCTAGCATTTACAAGTTTAAAGATTAAGAGTCTGAGGACAGTTTGGCCAAATAGTTAGACCCTCTTGCGGAGGGAGGGGCAAATCTTGAAAACTATCAAGAACAAAATTGATGTAGAAGCTTATTTTATAATAAAGCTAAAGAGGCCGGGCGCCGGTGGCTCACGCCTGTAATCCTAGCTACTCAGAAGGCTGACATCTGAGGATCCCATTTCAAAGCCAGCCCGGGGCAGGAAAGACCTTGAGACTCCTATCTCCAATAAAACACTAGAAAACCGGAAGTGGTGCTGTAGCTCAAGTGGTAGAGCGCTCACCTTGAGCTAAAGAGCACAGGGACAGCACCCAAGCCCAGAGTTCAAGCCCCATGACGGACAAAAAAAAAAAAAAGCTAAAGATAAGGACAGGTGGGCGGGGACTGGGAAGGTGGCTCAGTGGTAGAGTGCTTGCCTTGCATACATCCCTGGGTTCAATTCCTCAGCACCACATAAGCAAAAAAAAAAAAAAAAAAGCTGGAAGTGGCGCTGTGGCTCAAGTGGTAGAGCACTAGCCTTGAGCTGAAGAGCTGAGGGACAGTTCACAGGCCCAGAGTGCAGGCCCCACTACTGACAAAAAAAAAAAAAAAAAAAGCTAAAGATAGTTGTCTTCTTTTCAGATTTTTTTTTGGGGGGTTGGTTGTGGGGCTTGAACTTAGGGTGTGGGTGCTGTCCCTCAGCTCTTTTGCTCAAGGCTAGTGTTCTACCACTCAGCACTACTTCCAGTCATCTTTTACTTAGCTTATGGCTACCTATCCAAACTCTTCTGTTGGGCAACCTCATCAGTTAATGACCGCAGCCAATCACCAGGAAGTAAGGCAACCTCAACAAAATCTGGCACACACCCAAACAGGAATCAGTCTCTGTAATGGCTTGTTTATGTTTATATATCTAAATTTAGTTACTTAGTTCTTAAAGTCTCCTTTGAATAGAATATTCAATTGGTTGATGTGGCTCAAGCAATAGAGTATCTGTTTAACAAGTGCAGCCCTGAGTTCAAATTCCAGTACTGCTATAAAAGAAATAAAAAGAAGAAATAAAAGAAATAAAAAGAAGAAAGTCTCTATGCAGCTAAATTATGGATAACTTTGGCAAACCTTTTTTTTTTTCTGTGTAGACCTTACTGCTCTTTTTGGTGGTGTTGGAGGTTGATTAACCAAGGACTTGGAGTTGGTAGCCTATGTACTTTAGTTATTTTTCATATGGGGTCTCAAATTTTTGTCCAGGTCTTGCCTTGAACTGTGATCTTGTATTGGATCATAAACATGCACCAATATGCCTGGTTTGTTGGCTGAAATGGATTCCCTGTTTTTACTGGAGCTAGTCTTTTTTTTTTTTTTTTTTGTCGGTCGTGGGGCTTGAACTCTGGGCCTGGGCGCTGTCCCTCAGCTCTTCAGCTCAAGGCGAGCGCTCTACCACTTGAGCTACAGCGCCACTTCCGGTTTTCTGGTGGTTTATTGGAGATAAGAGTCTCACGGTCTCTCCTGCCCGGGCTGGCTTTGAACCGCGATCCTCAGATCTCAGCCTCCTGAGTAGCTAGGATTACAGGCGTGAGCCACCAGCGCCCGGCATAGAATTCCCACTCAATTCTTTTTTTTTTTTTTTTTTTTTTTTTATCGGTCGTGGGGCTTGAACTCTGGGCCTGGGCGCTGTCCCTCAGCTCTTCAGCTCAAGGCGAGCACTCTTGGAGCTAGTCTTAAAGCTCAGTCCTTTCAAACTCTGTCTCCTGAGTAGCTGGAATATTAGCCATGTTAGCTGGCTGGACCTCACTTTTTTTACCTAGACAGTGAACATATTGAGTTAGAGAAACTTTTAGTTGAGTTTCTTTAGTTCTAAGATTCTACAATGTTACATTTATTATGCAGAATATTTGTCTTCAATGAATTTTTCTTTTATATAAAAGAAAAGGAAATTTATTACTATAATAGTTTTCTTTGTTTTTTTTTTTTGGAATCCGGTCATGGGGCCTAAACTCTGGGCCTGGGCGCTGTCCCTCAGCTCTTCAGCTCAAGGCTAGCGCTCTCCACTTGAGCCACAGCGCCACTTCTGGCTTTTTTTTGCTTATATGGTGCTGAGGAATTGAACCCAGGGCCTCAGGCATGCAAGGCAAGCACTCTACCACTGAGCCACCTTCCCAGCCCCCACTATAATAGTTTTCTTCCTTGTCTTTCAATAACTTTCTAGCTATCTTTGAAAGGCCTGAAGAGTCTTCCTTTGAAAATCTTCATCATCTGTGTCAAATCATGACAGATCTCTAAAATTTCTTTTTTCTTTTCTTTTCCTCTTTCTTTCTTTTCTTTTCCTCTTTCTTTCTTTCTTTTCCCCTTTCTTTCTTTCTCTCTTTCTTTCTTTCTTGTTGGTCGTGGGTCTTGAACTGTGGGCCTGGGTGCTGCCCCTAAGCTCTTCGGCTCAAGGCTAGCCCTCTACCACTTGAGCCACAGCGCCCCTTCTGGTTTTCTGGTGCTTAATTGGAGATAAGAATCTCATGGACTTTCCTGTCCAGGCTGGCTTTCAACCATGATATTCAGATCTCAGCCTCCTGAGTAGCTAAGACTACAGGTGTGAGCCACCAGCACCCAGCTAAAATTTATTTTTATTTTTATTTATTTTTTATTTTTATTATTTTTTTTTTTGGTCCAGTCGTGGGGCCTGAACTCTGGGTCTGGGCACTGTCCCTCAGCTCTTCAGCTCAAGGCTAGCGTTCTACCACTTGAGCCACAGCGCCACTCCTGGCTTTTTTCTTTTTGCTTATGTGGTGCTGAGGAATCGAACCCAGGGCCTCATGCATGCAAGGCAAGCGCTCTACCACTGAGACACCTTCCCAGCCCCCTAAAATTTCTTTTTAAAAAACAAAGTTGGGAGGAAATTTTGGCAGGGGGTATAGCTAAGTGGTTTTATGGTTGCCTAGCATTTTCAAGACTACAACATCATGATATTTGATTGCATTTATTAAATAAGTAGTAAATTGTCTCTAGATGGTAATGAATGTTCGACTGTATTAACTGTATTTGTGGTGCTGGGTCTTGTGTCACTAAGCCATATCTCCAGCCTTCAACTATAGTTAAGTCTTTATTTGGCCAGGCATAGTAGCACATACACTGTAATCCCAGAACCCTGGAGGCTGAGGAAGGATTATGAGTTCCAGGGCAACATGAGCTACATAGGTCTTTCTTCACAACAAATAAACAAGTGAATGTATATATGTGTGTATATTTGGACAAGCAAGATAACGTGCAAAAATGAAAATCATTTTGTTAGTATAGTACAAGTGTTATTAAAAAAGTTTATTACATGTTCTCCCCTTTAATAAAGGGGAGCAAAGCAGTATACTGTAGCTATAAAGATAGAATGGAGAGCTGGGAATATGGCTTAGTGGTAGAGTGTTTGCCTAGCATGCATGAAGCCCTGGGTTCAATTCCTCAGTACCACATAAACAGAAAAAGCCCAAAGTAGAGTTGTGGTTCAAGTAATAGAGCACTAGCTTTGAGCAGAGAGAGGCTCAGGAACAGAGCCCAGGCTCTGTGTTCAAGCCCCAGGACCAGCAAAAAAAAGTGTGTGTGTGTGTGTGTGTGTGTGTGTGTGTGTGTGTGTGTGTGTGTGTGTGTGTGTGTGTGTGTGTGTGTGTGTGTGTGTGTGTGTGTGTGTGTGTGTGTGTGTGTGTGTGTGTGTGTGTGTGTGTGTGTATGAGAGAGAGATACTGGAAGGGAGTGAAAAGGTAATGATTGTTTTGCCTTATACCCAAAAATGGTCATCACCTATCCCTGTTTCTTCTTTCCTGCAGGGCCATGTGAAACTTTCTGACTTTGGCCTTTGCACGGGTCTGAAAAAAGCACATAGGACAGAATTTTATAGGAATCTGAACCACAGCCTCCCCAGTGATTTCAGTAAGTGTTAACTGGTGTGTGTGTGTGTGGAGGGGGGGTGGTCTTTTGCTCCTTAAGGATGTAGAAGAGATGTTACCTGGCAACTAAACTATGTGGGACAGAGAGGAAATTCTCACAGCATGGGTTTCTAGAGGGGAAAAAATACTTTTCCATGTTTTCCTGTGAGATAAGATGTGTAGGATCAGATGTGCTAATACAGATGTGGCAATGAGCTTTGTTGAGAACTCTGTTAGGGATGTTACTGGGTATGGATATGTGGCAGACAAGCAAAATAGTAGAGGAAAGTCCTGGGATCTAGGTTTATCTAGTACTTCTTTCTGTCATGATGGAAAGATGTTAATCATTACAAGGGTTACTTCAACTTCAGTCAGTTAAATTATTGAAGACTATAATAAGATCAATCACTGATGATCCTAGAAAGGCTTCTGTCAAATAATGTGTCCTAAACTAAGAGATCCAGTTGTTACTCTTGGAAGTTAAATTATTGAAGACTGTAATAAGATCGATCACTGATCATCCTAGAAAGGCTTCTGTCAAATAATGTGTCCTAAACTCAGAGGTCCAGTTGTTACTCTTGGAAGTTCGATGGTAGTCTAGAGAAGCTGAAGGTCTCTGGGATTTTGCTGAGCCTGTCTGTGTCCCCTTTGACTACACGATCTGTGTGAGGAGCTCTTCCCATTTCTCTGTGTGACTTAGAGTTGATGTATTAGTACCTCTGGTTTGGGCTTAAAGAGCTCCTGGGAAATGGTTGTTTTAGATGCATGCAAGAAAAGCAAGACCCAGCATCTCCTGGGACTTGTACCAGACCCTTGCAAAGTTGTGAACTTTGACTAGAACCTTTCTACGTTAGCTTTTCAGAACATGAACTCTAAAAGAAAAGCAGAAACCTGGAAAAGAAACAGACGTCAGCTGGTAAGTTAGTTATATATGTGGCTTCTGAAATGCTACCCTCCAGGTATGAGTAAGTTTTTAACATTGTCATTTGGTAAATGTTTACAGCATAGCCCTCACCTTGCAAAGACTACTTAATAGAGCAGGACTTTCATTGGATTGTTAGTACCAAACCAAATATTTTGAAAGAGGGTAGATAATACTAGGTTTTCTGATTGTGACATAGAAAAAAAAAAGCTAGTTTTTTAATAACCAAATTTTATAGATGAAGTTAAATTGGTCTCAAAATAATTTCTCTGTAATTGTGACATTTTCAGTGGATGACCTCATTCTGACCTTTTAGGCTAGTAACATCTCTTTCATGTGGCATTCAGGTTGAAGCTAATTGTACATCTATGCCTAATTCGTTGACCTTTTGACCCTCTTAGGTCAAGACACCTCCACTCACCAGTCTAACAGCCTTTTCTTACTTTGTGGTAGAAAAATATACTTGGTGATCAAAACTAGAGGGAAATATAAGGACAATTTTTATTATCTATAAGTGTTTGCATATATATACTTGTAAGATTATACATATACATTGTAAGTTTAAAGAAAAATAATCTTATTACATTTACCTTGAATGGTACCTTGGAAAGTTACTGAAACAGTATAAATTTTTCAGTAAAATACTTCTGTCTAGACAAAGTTTATTTTATATATATATATATTTTTTTTTTTTAAATTTTTATTTTTTGCCAGTCCTGGGGCTTGAACTCAGGACCTAGGCACTGTACCTGAGCATCTTTTTGCTCAAGGCTAGGACTCTACCACTTGAGCCACAGTGCCACTTCTGGGTTTTTCTGTTTATGTGGTACTGAGGAATCAAACCCAGGACTTCATGTATGCTAGGCACTCTACCGCTAAGCCACATTCCTAGCCCAAAGTTTATTCTTTTTTTTTTTTAGTGACATTGAGGATTAAACCCAGATTCTGCCAGTTGTGCTATATGCTGTGCCCTGCCTTCATTATTGAAGTATGAGTACTGGGGCTTGAACTCAGAGCTCTGCACTTTTATTTAGCTTTTTTGCTTATGGCTGGCACTCTACCAATTGAGCCATGCCTTCAGTTCCAGCTTGTTTTTGCTGGTTAATTGGCAATAAAAGTTTTTCTGGATTTGTCTTCCCAGGCTAGCTTTGAAGGGATCCTCAGATCTCTATCTACTAAGTAGCTAGGATTACAGACATGAGTCCTGGGCACCTGACTCTTGGATTTTCTCTGTTCTCTGAGACAAGTGTTCTTCTCTTTGATGTGTACCAGAGGGCCATCAGATTCTCCCAGGATCGTTATATAGTTCTGTAAGATAGGTGGTTTCCCTTCATACTTGCAGTTAAATGTCATTTTAAAAACTTTTTGAAAGTATGAATAAACATTAGGCTCTGATGCTGTGATTAAGGTGCTTGCTTCCTTATTCTATTCACAGAAATAGGAAAGTAAAAATTAGACTCATCTTCCTATTATCTGGTTTCATAATTTGAAGAAAATAAAGCCTCAGTTTTCCAAGTGTTAACTAGCCATGTTCTTTGCCCTTTGTAAGCATTCCCATTCAGCTAGTACCAAGCTGAAGGGGGGGAGGGGGATACTGGTTAATGCTTAGCACAAATGGAATAGTCTAGGTTGAGCATAGTAAGTACTGCTTCCCATTAACACTTCTCGTCCTCACTGAAAAAGTAGAGCTTTACCTTCACATCTTGGCTACTTAAATCATATTGTAATAGTCTAACTTGTGGTGTGGCCCTAGGTTAACCCTAGTAACTGCTTAGGTAGTGTGAGTGAATCAGCTCAGAGTTCCTAAACCCCAGAAGTAAGAGATGATGCATGCAAGTTCCATCTAGGTATTTAATCTACGTCAGTTTTATTCTTAGGGTAGAATTTATAGACATGACAAAGTAGAGATTGAAGTTGCTTTGTCTTCTCTAAAAGTAAAATTGAGTCAAAGTTTGAACACGTGATTGAAATGGCTGTCCAGTGAATAGAGTGCTTATAGACTTCCATTGTAGTGCTCACTGACAACAAAAGAAGGAAAAAGGGCACAGAGTTAAGAGGTTAGAGTTGGTGGCACCTTATGGTGGACAAGGGGCAAAGGTTTGGGAAGGGGGAGGTCCTTAGATTGGAAAGGCTCCGTCTGGCACTTACAGGACTGGGAGTATGGTAAGACATGCTTCTAGAGTGGAACTTTACCTCATAGCACGGATTTGTGCCTTCAGCAGGCTATGTTTTGTAAATCCCAGAGGGTTTTTTTTTTAATATTGTAATTTGAAGGTATTCTCATGTGGCAACTGATGTATGGTTTTTATAATGTTTGATTAAACAAAAATGAGATTTAATATTTATCTTTTGCTACAATAAACTTAGTCTGTAAAGAGTATCTAGTTTCTTATATAAGAAGCAAAGTACTTCTGCTTCTTAGATAGGGCCAATTCCTGTTTCAGACTTCCAAGCTTAAAAATATTTAGGGTATTTATGTTATTTAAGATTTGCAATATTAAAAATATTGTATAACTGTGTGCTGGCTGGCTCACGTCTATAATCCTAGCTATTCAGAAGGCTGAGATCTGAGGATCACTGTTCAAAGCCAGCCTGGGTAAGAATGTCTGTGAGACTTATCTGCAATTAACCACCAAAAAGATGAAAGTGAAGTTGTGGCTCAGTTGATAGAGCACTAGTCTTGAGCAAAAAGCTCAGGCACAGCACCCCACCCCCGAATTCAAGCCCTAGGACAGACACAGAAGTAAATAAATACATGCATACATATATAAATAGCACGATTAGCTGCATGGAAAAACTGGATTATGTTTTACAGTGTTCACAAAAGTAAATTGAGCATGGGAAATAAAATGTAAAAACTTTTAGATAAAAATATAAGGCAACCTTTTTTTTTTTTACCTCAGAGTAGGCCATATCTCTTAAATAAGATAAAATTAGGGCTGGGAAGGTGGCTCAGTGGTAGAGTGCTTGCCTTGCGCCTGAGGCCCTGGGTTCGATTCCTCAGCACCACATAAGCAAAAAGAAAAAAGCCGGAAGTGGCGCTGTGGCTCAAGTGGTAGAGTGCTAGCCTTGAGCTGAAGAGCTGAGGGACAGCGCCCAGGCCCACAGTTCAGGCCCCACGACCGGACCCCCTCCCCCCCCCCCCCCAAAAAAAAAAAGATAAAATTAGTACAAATCATCAAAGAAAAATTTGATTTATTTGACTACTTTAAAGGGGGAAAAAATCCCTGTATATCAAAAGAAATAAAGGAAAAGAGCTGCAGACAGTCCTGAAGAGGAGCAAGGCACGAGCCTGCTGCTAGGCACGAGCTCCGAGGAAGCACATGTGGACGCCAGGAGGATGGAGGGCTCCCCCACCACACAGCCATGTCCTGGAACAACAGCGGGAAGGACTGGAGCAGAGCTGCCTGGGTGACAGCATGGGCCAGCTTTAGAAAAAGTGTTGGCAGGAAAGCCTGCACAAAAATACATTACAATCTCATTTAGAGTCGTGAGGCAAAATGGAACTTCTTTTGAAAAGCAGGGTTTTTGATGAACACCAATGCAGCATGGTAGTCAGGAGGTGAGAGCTAATGATGCTGGTATTTGGTTCTTCAGTTAAACTCATGGGTATTCACAGGCCACGTGATTTGATCATGCATATCATACGTCATGTAATACTATTGGTATGTGGCAAGTAATTCACATGCAAAGTCATCAGAGCAATAAGCCTCAGACCAGATGTTTGCAGAATGTAAAACTATTAAGGATAATAAGCACTTTGAATTCATAAAGAATTCCTATGAATCAATAAGAATAAAGAACACAACTAAAAAATTAGTGAGCAAAGAACCTGAAAAAGAATAAGAGAAATGAAAATTGAAACATCTCACTAAAAGTCAAACCCCACGTGTGGGTGAGATGAGGACGCCAGGCGCAGCCTCCTTGGGCTAGCGTCGTCAGCGCCACTGGTCGGAAGGTTGCTGGAGCTCCTGACTTGAGCCAGCACTGTACGCTATGGTATGACACATCGTAAGTCTCCATAGTGCGCAGCCCCACAGGGCGTGGTGTTTTCTGGGTGCTCTCATACTGAGTTGTTGGCAGCCACACGATGTCCATTTAGGGAGGAGTGGCAAAAAACAATTGTGATTTATTTGTGTAACGCAGAAGAATATGCCAGAAGAATGTGTGAACCAGAGCTATAGGAGTAAACCTCAAATCCATAATGTTGAAGAAAAAAAGTAAGTTTTAACATTGAACACAATGCAATGTAGTGTGAAGAAGCCCTTTATATAGCAGACAATTAACATGCTTTATGAAAAAAGACAGCACCATAGCTTTCAGCTTTCAGGAAGAAGTTTAAAAGAAACAAATGAGCCAGGTGCCAGTGGCTCACGTCTGTAATCTTAGCTACTCAGGAGGCTGAGATCTGAGAATCTTGGATCGAAGCCGTCCCGGATAGGAACATCTGTGAGACTCTTATCTCCAATGAATCACCAAAAAAACAGAAGTGTTGCTGTGGCTGCAGTGGTATAGTGCTAGCCTTGAGCTGAAGAGCTCAGGGACAGCACCAAGGCCCAGACAGTTCAAGCCCCATGACCAGCAAAAAAAAAAAAGAGAGAGAGAGAGAAATGGCCCTGTAATCCTAGCTACTCAGGAGGCTGAGATCTGAAGATCACAGTTCAAAGCCAGCCCAGGCAGAAAAGCTGTGAGATGCTTATCTCCAGCTAAGCACTAAAAAGTTAAAAGTGGCTAAAGTGGTAGAGCATCAGCTTTGAGCACAAAAGTTTAGGGACAGCACCCTGGCCCTGAGTTCAGTCCGCAGGACTGGCACCAAAAAATAAAGTAAGGAAAATGATTGAGATAAATGACAGATGATAAACCTCTAATATGAGATGGATCATGTATATTGCACTGTCTATGGTTTTCTTTTTGTATGTTTGTAATATTTCAGAATAAATACTTAAAAAGATAGCAGCTGCAATTTTTTATTTTGAAGATTATATAATCATCATATCTCCCAGCATAAAGCCTTTTACTTGGGAAGTCCTCACATGTTAAGCACTTTGGGAGGCTTTCGAGTATACTTACAGTATTTTCAATCTTGGTGTATGAGAGTAGAATACAGGAATTTAGAAAATGTTTCTCTAATAACTTCTATGGAAACCATTATATAGTAAAATAGACATTTATAAACATTTGATGTATAGGATATAACTTTCACTTTTGATACTAAGGCTTCCTTTATGATTTTCTTGAATTAAAAATGAAAGAGGCAGCCGGATGCTGGTGGCTCACGCCTGTAATCCTAGCTACTCAGGAGGCTGAGATCTGAGGATCGCGGTTCAAAGCCAGCCCGGGCAGGAAAGACTGTGAGACTTCTATCTCCAGTAAACCACTAGAAAACCAGAAGTGGCACTGTAGCTCAAGTGGTAGAGCGCTCGCCTTGAGCTGAAGAGCTGAGGGACAGCGCCCAGGCCCAGAGTTCAAGCCCCACAACGGACAAAAAAAATAAAAAATAATAAAAATTAAAGAGGCAAGATAATGGAACAAGATATTTAATTTCCAAATTAGTTTTGAGGCCTTGGATAATTCCATGTTGGATGTCAAGTTTATCTGCAAGTGTTGCTTAGTAGTCTTCCTTAGGATGGTTTTGTCATGATGAGTTGTGCTTATTTACATATTAAGCAGCACAGAACCTGGCACTTAGTGAGAACTCTGTAAATGAGGGCAGCTGTTCATGGGCTTTGGAAGGGGCTTTGGCTTTGTTCTTTGTGGAATGTGCCCTTGCAAATCCAGCTTACATTAAGCTACTGGGCGACCGTCCTGCATATTTACTTTGGGGGTAGCTCCTGGTGGTGCTGTAGCCTTTGGTCTTTGGAACAGAACTGTGGGCGACTGCCTGGCTCGCCTCTCTGATACATGGTACATGTTTCAGGCCTTCTCCACAGTAGGCACTCCTGACTACATTGCTCCCGAGGTGTTCATGCAGACCGGGTACAACAAGCTCTGTGATTGGTGGTCCCTTGGCGTGATCATGTATGAGATGCTCATCGGTAAGTTGCATGTCTCCAGAGGACCTCCCGTGTGCATCCACAAACTACTGCTACCTTGATTCTAGGTTGAGACGGGAGGGAGCTAGGAGGTACTTTCCCTCCTTTGTCTTTCTAAGTGAAGAGGCCTACCTAGATAGGTGACTCAAATAAGCCTTGCTATGTTCTTGGGCTTCCTGGAGGCCTTGGTTGCTTTGCTGATCATTTGCTTTTTTTCTTTTGGTCAGTTGTGGGGCCTGATCTCTGGGCCTGGGCACTGTCCCTCAGCTCTTCAGCTCAAGGCTAGCGTTTTACCACTTGAGCCACAGCACCACTTCTGGCTTTTTCTGCTTATGTGGTGCTGAGGAATCAAACCCAGGGCCTCAGGCATGCAAGGCAAGCGCTCTACCACTGAGCCACCTTCCCAGCCCCTTGCTTTTTTTTTTTTTTGTTCTGTGCTTTCATCCTCTTCATCGAGCAGTTCTTTTAGTTGCTGGCATTTATTCTGCATTTTCCGAGCTCCAAAAATTACCTCACCTTGTAACTTGCTGCTCCCTTGCCCCCCCCCCCCCCAAATCCCCCCCCCTCTTTTTTTTTGGCCGATCCTGGGGCTTGAATTTAAGGCCTGGGCACTGAACTAAGGGACTAGGCACTGTCCCTGAGCTTCTTTTGCTTAAGGTTAGCACTCTACCACTTGAGCCACAGTGCCACTTCTGTCTTGTTCTGTTTATGTGGTACTAAGGAATTGAACTCATGGCTTCATGCATTCTAGGCAAGCATTCTACGATAAGCCACATTCTCAGCCCTCTCTTCCTCTTTCAAAGCCTTCACAGTATGAAAGTCTCTGACCTCTCTCCCTAGTATTGGGAGAGTGTCTCTGTATTTATGGGACACACCTGTGTGCTAAGCCATTGAGCACTAGGATTGGGAGTGTGTAGGTGACTGGGTGTGGGGTGGTCTGGCATTGTCTTCAGGAACATTGGATGGATGTCTGTGGCAGATGTGCCCTGTAAAGAGGGCAGATTTGGGGTAGGGTATGTGTTTCTCCTCTTTCCTGTTCTCAAAATGTATGACAGTCACTTTGAAAACTCAGGCTTTTGTCTTGTTTTGTTTTGTGCCAGTCCTGGAGCTTGAACTCAGGGCCTGGGCATTTGTCTGTGAGCTTTTGTGCTCAAGGCTAGTGCTCTACCACTTGAGCCACAGTGCTATTTGCAGCTTTTTCTGAGTAGTTAATTGGAGATAAGAATTACTTGGGATGGCTTCAAACCATGATCCTCACATCTGTCTCCTGAATAGGATTACAGGTGTGCGGTCCATGGTTTTTCTTATTTAGTTTGTTTGGTAATTGGCTCATAGAAGGATATTCCTGGAATAGTTATTCCTTGAATGTATGTTTTATCCTAACATTGGCGTGGTAATCTTCACACCTGCAGCTTTGAGTATGACCTCCTATCTTTCCAGCTCCAACTGTTAGCTGGCTGGTACTAGAGGCTGGTACTAGTGGGTTTGCAAGTTTAGATGCTTAGGTGTTTGCTGGGGTGAGTGGGAAGTCTTCTTGTCTGTCACAAGCGGCCACTAAAGAGAGCAGTGTGTTGATTGAGAATCACCTCAGTCAGGCTCCATGCGCTTCCAAGTTCCTCTTTATTCCAGGCTACCCACCTTTCTGTTCTGAGACCCCGCAAGAGACATACAAGAAGGTGATGAACTGGAAAGAAACTTTGACTTTTCCTCCAGAAGTTCCCATCTCTGAGAAAGCCAAGGATCTAATTTTGAGGTATCAGCATTTTTCCACCTGTTGAAACTTTTTGACATGAGTGATTCCTCTAAAAAAAAAACAACACTTATCTTCTGGGTCTGCTCTGCTTCCTTCCATTCGTCTCTTAATAGAAGAGACAGACATTCTTCCTTTCTTTTTTTCGAAGAAACTGAGATGTGCTGAAAGGCATCTTCTTTTCCAGATTCTGCTGTGAATGGGAACATAGAATCGGAGCCCCTGGAGTTGAGGAAATCAAAAGTAATGCTTTTTTTGAAGGTGTTGACTGGGAACATATCAGGTATATGCATAAAAGGTCACTACTAGTTTGCTTAACACTAATTTGGAAAAAGACCATGATTGGCATGCTAAGTAAGGAAAGAGATATTTTAGGGTCTTTTCTATATTTTCTTTCTTTTTTTTTGTCGGTCATGGGGCTTGAACTCTGGGCCTGGACGCTGTTCCTCAGCTCTTCAGCTCAAGGCTAGCGCTCTACCACTTGAGCCACAGCGCCACTTCTGGCTTTTTCTGCTTATGTGGTGCTGAGGAATTGAACCCAGGGCCTCATGCATGCAAGGCAAGCACTCTATCACTGAGCCACCTTCCCAGCCCTCTCTTCTGTATTTTCTTTTTTTTTTTTTGGGGGGGGGGTCTGGTCGTGGGGCCTGAACTCTGGGCCTGGGCGCTGTCCCTCAGCTCTTCAGCTCAAGTCTAGCGCTCTACCACTTGAGCCACAGCGCCACTTCCAGCTTTTTTTTTTCTTTTTGCTTATATGGTGCTGAGAAATCGAACCCAGGGCCTCATGCATGCAAGGCAAGCGCTCTACCACTGAGCCACCTTCCCAGCCCCTCTCTTCTGTATTTTCATTCATGGTTAATGAAGATAAAAAGTTAGGCTTCTTGGCCCTGTGTCATGGAAGTACTGAGTCCCACAGCTCTTTACTGAGCCATGTGAACGTGGGGAGGGAACATCGGGACGCATGGTGTCCATGCTCTCTGTCCTCTATTGTGGGGGGCCGTCAGCAGAGCTGTTCCGGACCACAGAGGACATCATTGGGAGTAAAGAGGCAGTGAGGAGGAGGAGGGGTGGGCTGCAGACAGGAGGCCTGTTAAGGAGGCTGGAGTAGGGTGCTGCCAGTGGCCAAGAGAGCCTGGAGTCCCAGACTGTTGTCTGTGTGTGTGTGTGTGTGTGTGATTGTGTGTGTGTGTGTGTGTGCGGTGTGCGCAGTCCTGGGGCTTGAACTCAACCTAGGTGCCGTCATTGAACAGTTTTACTCAAGGCTAGTGCTCTCCCACCTGAGTTCTAGCTTTTTGGTGATTAATTAGAGATAAGAGATAAGAGTCTCATGACTCCCGAGTAGGATTACAGGCCAGAGCCACCAGTTTTTAGTTTTTTTTTTTTGTTTTTTTTTTGGGGTGGGGGAGTCCGGTCATGGGGCCTGAACTCTGGGCCTGGGCGCTGTCCCTCAGCTCTTCAGCTCAAGGCTAGCGCTCTACCACTTGAGCCACAGCACCACTTCCGGCTTTTTTCCTTTTTGCTTATGTGGTGCTGAGGAATTGAACCCAGAGCCTCATGCATGCGAGGCAAGCGCGCTACCACTGAGCCACCTTCCCAGCCCCAAGCTTTTAGTTTCTTGAGACAAGTTCTCACTATGGAGTTCAAGCCAGCCTCGAACCCATGATACCTACATCAGCCTCCTGGGTGCTGGGATTATAGATGTGGGTCATTGAATCCATGTTCTACACCTTTTAAACCAGCTTTTTTGGTTGCTTAACCAAAGGGGATGAGGTTGTCTTTTTTTTTTTTTTCTTTCCCCTGTACTGGGACTTGAACTTAGGGCTGCATGCTCACTCAGCTAGCTTGCTCACAGCTGACACTTTATTACTTTTGAGCCATGCCTCCAGCCCTGCCATTTTATATTGTAATTATATTCTGGTTTGCATTCTTGTGAATTTTTTTTTCTTTGAGAGGGTCTCATCATGCAATCCAGGCAGGTTTTACACTCAGGATCTTCTGTCTTTTGAGTGCTGGGACGGTAGGCATGAGCTACCGTGCCCAGCATCCTTGTGACTTTTATGTTTGCCTCCTTGTCATCATATATTTTAGCTATCATGCTGGCTTGTGCTCCCAGGGGAAGAAGGGTAGAGCTGTACATGAGGCGTGCCAAGAGTTTCCTCCTTTAGTCGAAGGGGCAGCCATTTAGAGTATCATTGTGCACTTTCCCCTTGTTCCTGCCGTTCTAGCTATGAACGAATATTTTTATTGTATTTAATAATTTACTTTATTATGAATGCTTAGTTGGCCAGCATTCATAAGCTTTTCAGAGAAAATAAACGCTGTCTGCCAGTGACTTGATTAGTACGATCCATCTGAATAATAACAAGTAATCCTTGGCATGTCTGTTCTTGGCAGAGAGAGACCTGCTGCAATATCTATTGAAATCAAAAGCATTGATGATACCTCAAACTTCGATGAGTTTCCAGAGTCTGATATTCTTAAGCCAACAGGTAATTCACTAGCACAGCCTCAGCAGCCTCCTAGTCAAATTATTTCCCGCCCTGCTTGCAATTTTGGCGCGATGCTTACAGATCAGGGTAGAGTGTGGATAGGAACCTGGAGATGTTTTTCTAACGCCAGTGCTGGCTCGTGGTGGGATGCACGTGTCCACACTCAGATGACTCCCGCCGGGCGGCCGGGCACACGCGACCTATTTATTGTACTGAAGGTTAGGGAAAGTGAAACGCTCTGATGGGAAAAGAAAACTTTCAGTGTTATTTGTGCAGAAATAAATCTGAGGCTCAAAGAGCCACAAGCAGACAGAGAATCTGCAGAATGCAAAGAGCCTTTTCCAGATAGACACGTGTCCTTGGCACCAATGCGTCTTCAGTGCTGAGCAGCCCACTGGCGGAGGGCAGTGAATTATTCTCACATCTATTTCTTCCCCAGTGGCCACCAGTAATCACCCCGAGACTGACTACAAGAACAAAGACTGGGTCTTCATCAATTACACATACAAGCGCTTCGAGGGTCTGACCGCTCGGGGGGCGATTCCATCCTACATGAAAGCGGCAAAGTAGAGCGCGGTGGTGGGATCCGAGACGGAGCAGAGTTCCTCGGCCAGCATCACTGGCGGCTTGCCTCTCGCACCCTTTCAAAGAGCTTCTAAGCAGTTGACAGCACCTGTCAATGTGTCATAGCAAAGTTTCCTGAAATGTGATAAAGTGGATTTTCTCCCATAATGCACCAGAAAACCGATAGAACAAAGAACTATCTCCTCTCCACATCATGGGCCATAAACACCTTCTTTAGAAGCATCATGAGCCAATTTGATAGGTATTTTCAAAAGAATTTGAATTCCCACAGTTCACCAGAAGGAAGGAGAGAAACAGCCATCATCCAGCATTACCAAGATTTTGTAATGTGTACTCTGCCAAGTCCTCTGCCGTGGTGACACCACGCCCCCTGCCAAGCCCATCGAGTATTTCTTTCCTCTGTATAGCTAAAAGTCCCATAGTACTACAGGAATACAGCAACAACCACAGTATGTCAGCAGCCAACGTGATCTCCGTCCTGAGGGGTGGTGAGGAGAGCGTCTTCCTGCACTCGGCCCTGGGAGCGGCTTTCCACAGCTTTCACTTACGGTGCACTTTATTCATGGTACTAGGACTCATGATTTAGCTCCTCTCTTCCACCCATCCAAAAGCTTCTGCTGCTCTCCTGAGTGTTGATGGTCTCCTCTTGCTCTCTGGAGGCCACTGGCACTGCTGCGTTATGGATCATGCGCAAGCCCTCACTTCCTCTGTGTGGTGCATCAGATCCCAGGGTGGATGCCACTGACCAGCAATGCCTGAAAGCACTGCCGGCAGGAACTGTGTATTCCTGGGGACACAGCCAGCAGCCCACATGGAGGCTGGAGGCCTGGAGCCTCCTGGGAGGAGGTGGTGGACCCACCGCTTCCGGCAGAAAGGACACAGCCAGCTCCCTCCTCATCCCTGGTGCAGCCGTGTTAATGTCTTCTCTCGGTATTTCTCCTCTTCCAACTGTCGCCATTTTGCCTTGGAATCATGAGGACAAATTTTCCCTTTGCTGATGCCTTCCTGAGGGATACTTGTCCCACCCAAGACTTGCCTGCAGCTAAGGCTGACCTGGCTTCTGTTGTGGCGTTCTCTTATGAGACTGAATTGTAGCACAAAGTGCCTTCTCTGTCACAGCCACAGCCACCATTAGAGGACTTTTGCTGTGTCATAAAAATGTCAAGGGTTCCATATGAATGCATTATTTCTTTTTGGTTTTGACAATTCTTCAAGCATCATTTGCACCTGTGTGGTGACCGCCTGTTGCAGATCATGGCCACGCCACACCTGAGACTTGAGGTGGTGAAGGCCGCGCGTCCCAGCTCAGCCATTCAGAAAGGAAAACGGAATGTCAGTTACGGCGACACTGTCCTACTCTGGATGGGAATGTGATGTGTCAGCCCCCTACTTTTTTATTTGTAGCCTGTTAGTGTGAAGGAAGTAAATGAGGTTCGTCTGTGTAACTCCTTAGTCTCTTCTATTATTGAATAGTTGGGGTCTGTGTGATGTGAGAATGGGGAGTGCGGGGAGAAGTAACTGAAGGGAGTAGCGCTAGTCTAGTGGGGTGGCAGGGAATGGTTTTAGGGTAAATGACCACATTTTAGCTGTTAAAACTTCTGAATAAACTGTGAAAACAGCAGTGGAAATCTGTGATGTTTAAAACAAATGTGTCAGATTGCTTGTGACTTTCAGCCCCACTATCCGAAAGAGCAGAACATCGCACCATGGTCTTTGTGACAGGAAGCTGGGACTTAAGTGTTCAAGTACTTCCTCCTCTCTTGGGGTCACAGGGGGGGTGAGTCAGGGTCCCCTGCTGACAAGGGATGTCAGTCACCCAGACCTATCAGGAATCTCACAAGCTCCACCAGAGCACCGTTCTATTGAACTGTTGATCCACTTGTGAAGTCTCTCTTCTGGGGAAAAGAGTCTCTGAATAGGCAAGAAAGGGGTGAGGGGCACAAGCCGCAGCAGAGAGAAGATTCAACCAGGGCGGGCAGAAGTATTTCTGGTTTCTGGATGTTTTGGAAAAAAAACTGAGTGTGGATCCTGTTCACAGATAAATCCCAGTTCCTACTCATTAGGGAAGTTAGAAAATAGGATGTTTTGGGTTTTTTGGGTCGGTTGTGGGGCCTGGACTCGGCCCGGGCACTGTCCCTCAGCTCTTCAGCTCAAGGCTAGTCTTCTACCACTTGGGCCACAGCGCCACTTCTGACGTTTTCTGCTTATGTGGTGCTGAGGAATCGAACCCAGGGCCTCATGCATGTGAGGCAAGCGCTCTACCACTGAGCCACCTTCCCAGCCCCAGAATCTATTTTTTTTCTTTTTTGGTACCAGGACATTGCACTTGCTAGGCAAGTACTTTGTCACTGAGCTATGTCCCAGTCCTAAGCTTTATATTAAGACAATTTTACTGCATACCAAAATAATACTGAGCATGTGCTTTTCCATTTTTGGACAAGATCTCACTAGGCAGTCCAGGCTGGCCTTGAACTCATAGCCCTATCAGTCTCCAATGCTGCAATTATTGGTGTCACTACACCTGTACAGTCTTTTTGATTCAAGTACATCAGGATTTTATTTAGTATATCTTTGGGTTTAGAATTACTTAAAAAAAAGAGATCCAGAGGCTGGAAAATTGGCTCAGTGGTAGAGTGCTTGCCTCGCATGCATGAGGTCCTGGGTTCGATTCTTCAATACCACATAAGCAGAAAAAAGCCAGAAGTGGCGCTGTGGCTCAAGTGGTAGGGCACTAGCCTTGAGCTGAAGAGCTGAGGGACAGCGCCCAGGTCAAGTTCATTCCCCATGGCTGACCAAAAAAAAAAAAAATTTAGGGTTGTACTGGTAATTCATGTCTATAATCCTACTCAGGAGGCTGCTTTAAGATTGAGGTTCAAAAATCCATAAGATTCTTAGCTCTAACTAACCAGGAAAAAACCTACATAGGAATGGAGCTGTCTCAAGGGGTAGAATTCAAGCCCTAAAAAAAATAAAAACTCAGATAATAGTAAAATACTGACTTCAAAGCTCATCAATGTCATGTAATGGGAGACAGCCATTGATCACTAATGGCTTTTCTCAAAATTGTCTGCATAGAAAACACATTTCCTGGAGTCTGGGTTCAGGTCATTGTGAACTAACCCCTCAAGCCCTAGTTTTCTGCTAAGAAATACCACAGAAACAAATGGTAACATTTTATTGTATAAAAAAAAAAGCATCCCAAACGGGATTTCGTAAACACTGGTAGGTGAACAAGTGCAATCTTAAAAGTAAATACAACATGAAAAGGTGAAACCTACAAGCATTTTGCCTTTGGGAGTAAAGAGTCTCCTGCAGGTGATACCAACTAGAACACAACATGGAGGCTGCAGGCTGCTGAGTTCTCTGTTGAAGTCCATCATTAAGTTCAAAATGATGGCAAGAGGTGGCATTAAATGCAATGCCTAAAACCACAGGTGCTCCGCATCACACTGGGTGACAGTCTGAGCTAGCGGGTGTGTGTTTAATTAACCACAGGGCCTGTAGGACCCTCCTGTCAGCACATCCCCTGCCTGGGATCTTCACCATCTTCCCAGACCTGGGCCAGAGGCTGGCTTAGGGGATCCTGGCGGCTGCACACTGAGCAGCACTCTGCTGTCACCTCTTCCATACCTCCTATCCTGGAGAACACATCAAACAATCTCATGAGAACCAGTGGGTCCCCTTCTCTCGCCAGCTCAATGGCAAATGTTTCCTCATCAGCCAAACGAGATTGTTCAGGTTCATCTTGGCTGGCTGAGATGCTCCAAGATACTCTGGGTAAAATAACATTCCGACAAAAACGTTTCTGTATGAACAGCCTGGCTTACTATAAATTAGGCACTTTAAAGACACCAAACCAGTGTTCCACCTCTTTATTAAGGAGAAATCTTGACCACGTGGCCAGCAACTGCCTCTGAAGGGGAAGACGACCCCACCCTTGCCATTGGGCAATGTCACACATGGCTGCGCAGTCAGCACACGGCAGGCTGAGGTCTAGGAGGGTGCAAAAGCCTCTCCACCGGAAAGAACGTATAGCCTACATCTTGCTTTAGTCACCACACCCGGTGACATTAGCCGATTAGTCTGCACAGACTTCCACTTACCCAAACCCCATGGGTTGGGGCCAGAAGCATATTCATTTTGGGAGAAAAGACCTCATTTGTAAAAGTAATGGTTCAATGACAGTTACACACAACGTTAGCTATATGCCATGCTTCTGCAACTTTTTACCTAAGCTACACTTGTTATACGACATTAGCTTGGGCCGTGTTTCCACGTGGTGGTAATATGCATGCTATGACAGGAGAAGCTAGCCGTGGCACACAAACGTCAGGTCATGGAGGTTTCCTCTGTAGTGGTGTGAAGTCCAGACGAGAGCAGCGGAAGCACAACAAACACTGACCTGGCTGGTCAGCAGCTAGTGGGTATGAATGTGGGGCTAGAAAGGTGGAGGCCAAACTGGACCCCAAATATAAGCCCATTAGTTTCACAGACACGTCCATTTCTGGCTACAGATAGCCCTGACCCTCCCCTTAACTCTGGCTTTGCAAATTGATGCAAATAGCTTATCAGGAAAATAAGGCAAAGGAAGGTTTAACCCCGCTGCTTCTACCTCACACGAGGACGCTGGCTGATCCCCACTGCAGCGCAGCCATGCGCAGCAGGGCTTCCTCCCGACTACTCAGGTGTGGCTGGACAGGACCCTGACTTCCATTCCCAGCACTTGGATGAGGGTGGGTACCACCCCACCGTGAACAACACTCTTGTTCTTCAAGCCTGGGAAGAACAGCTCCTGCCTTTATTTTTAGAGGAGCTGACTAGGGCAGTCAGAAAGTAGAAGCCCAAAAGTGTCAATAGAAATGGAATTCACTCCTGGCAGGGTGCTTGCCTAGCATGCACAAGGCTCTGGGTTCCATCCTTAGCACCAGGGGGAAGGGGGGGAGGGGGGGAAGCAAAAAAAACCACACACACACACACACACACACACACACATAGTAATTTTCTTAAGGAATTTGAAACTATACACACACACACACACACACACACACACACACACACACACACACACACACACACACACACACACACACACACACACACACACACACACACACACACACACACACACACACACACACACCCCCCCCATAGTAATTTTCTTAAGGAATTTGAAACTATGCTCACAATCTGTGATGAGTAAACATCTAGAGTTTATGACTGAAGGTTGGTTTTCACCATAAAGGGAAATGATCAATCCCAAAACACTTTGCTTTTGTTGGTCGTGGGCCTTGAACTCGGGCCTGGGCACTGTCTCTCAGTTCTTCAGCTCAAGACTAAACACTTTACCACTTGAGCCACAGCGCCACTTCCTGTATTGTTTCCTTGAACTCTGGGCCTGGGCACTGTCTCTCAGCTCTTCAGCTCAAGGCTAAATGCTTTACCACTTGAACCACAGAGCCACTTCCTGTTTTCTGGTGGTTTACTGGAGATAAGAGTCTCCAAGACTTTTATGCCTGGGCTGGCTTTGAACTGTGATCCTCAATCTCAGCCTCCTAAGTAGCTAGGATTACAGATGTGAGCCACCGGTGCCCGGCTTCCCAAAACACTTCATGAAGCTCTGGACTCTAAAGTCAACCCTGCTGCTAACAAGAAAATATCAGAGGTCATGTGAGCCGGAAGTGACCTGGCTTGCCAGGCACTACGCACTGTAGCAGCTGATAGATAAGATGTCCTTTTATTTCACCCTCTTTGGAGATGACATTAATACCATCCTCCTAACCCTGTGTACAACATACTGCTATTCCCAGAAAACTCTGGGCAGCCTGGGATGGAGCTTGGGCAGGTGGCACTTCCTACCCAACTTCACCCTCAGTGCCCTCTCTGCAGGTCTAAGATGTGAACACTTTTTGAGATTTCTGTTCTCATCTTGAAACCTTTAAGTCATTCTCTCAGCTCTCTTGGCCAAGCCTGCAGCAGGGCTGCAGATAAAGACCTCCAGATTAACACTGTAGTCTCAGCCAAGAAAATCCAAATGGCCTGGGGCTGGGACTTAGCTCAATGGAAGCGCACTTGCGCAGCCGGTGCCAGGCCAAGAGTTCAGGCCTCAGCTCTCTGAGGAGGGGGGGGGGGGGGGGGGAAGACCACCAGAGCAGGAGAGGCTCTTCCACTTGAGTTTTAAGTTTCATTCCAATGAACCATCAATTTGGTTGAGGTTCATAACTTTTGAAGCTGAAACAGTTTCATCAGCAATGTTACGTCATTCTGCCTGCCAAAGAGCCTGTCCTGTGTGGTTTTGGATGGTTCACTGCATTAATGAGACACGAGACTGAACTTAAGCTCTTAGTCTTTCCTTGGGGAACGTTGGGGAACGTTGTGAACGCGTGGCAGACATTCTGACAAGTGCCGGGTTCTTCCCGGCTGCACTCCAGGGGCAGAGGCACCAAGAACGGCCTTTCCTCAGCCTGCAGCGAGCAGCTCCCACTAGTGCCCGCCTTTAGAAGACAGCCTTGTCTCCCTTTAAGTTTGGTCCCTTTGCTACTAAGCAATTTGCCTGATACTAAACAAAACATACAGGACAAAGGACAAAGACAGCTTTGCTAACTGTGAGGCAATGGGAGACTTGGCTTCCTTTCCTGGTTGTGAGTTCCAGACACTCAGTGAACAGCACCAGACCCCAAATTTCAAGTTACCAGGGGTGCCGTGATGCTGGTAGCCTAGCTACCAGCAAGCTACCAGCAAGCTGCTCCATCCCCTGCTGGAGGCACAGACTTACTGAACAGGAGACGTGTTGGCCACCGGGGAGGGACTCAGGGCGAGAGGACCAGAGGGAGGATGGGGAGTCCTGGCTGGGTATCTCAGCCAAGAGCTCGGTCCTAATCCTGAGAGTCGTTAGAAGCCATCTGAGCAAGTGGAGCATTGAGCCGGTCAAGTTCGTCCACCTGGGGTGGGTGGTGCATCAGTCTCTCCTGGTCCTCTAGGACGCCCTCTCCAGCAGCTGCCAAGTTAGTGAGGGATTTGCTTCGAACACACTGGAAATCCACATGGCGACTCTTCCCTTCTTCCTTTTCCCACGACATCTGGATGAAGGGGCGCTGCACGTAATTGTAGATGACCTCAGATCGGCCCCCAGGGCGTCTCTTAATTTTCTCTTTACAGGTAGGGTAACCTGGTACAGAGAAAAAGGACCTTCTCAGCATCCTGGCAAACAGCCTGCTCTGGCATCCATTTTTTCTCCCTCCTCCCAATCCAAGTACAGCAAGGGAGCTGTGCGGAAGGGACTCCGCTCCAGGTTGGTGGGACTTAGTCCTCAAAAGGAACTAATCTAAGGGAAGTAATGCCGACTCTCTCTCTTTCAATGGAAGGGGAAGAGAGAAGCCTCTTTGTAATTTCAAGAGCCTTTAGTTGCTGGCAACCATCAGAGAACAACAATGCTGCCAGGCCATGGCTACTTCATTCACTTAAGTCTTCTCTGGAGGGCAGACAATGGGAAACAGTTAAGGAGCTGTGGAAATCTGTGTGAAGGAGAAAGAGGAAGCTTCCCATATACTCAAAGGCTGTCAGGCGGAAATGGAATTCTTAACTGGAATAACTACCAGGGCTGGCACCAGCGGCAGATATGCAGAGGCCAAACTCCCTAGTGTCTGATGGGCCACTCTGTCCCTAGGAAAGGCTCAGAGGAGGAAGGCTTAGTAAGTAACTTCAAGTATTTCTCCTAACAAGGTCTGAGAAGTCGTGTGTGCAGGGGTGTATGCGGGCAGCGGAGTACAGCAGCCAGAGATCCTCGGAGTTGGTGCTGTGTGGGGACACTGCTGGGAGCCACTGCGCAAAGCACTGAGAGCAGGGCTCTCCTGAGTCTTCAAATAGAATCCCCTTCAATTTTGAGTCCACCTGGGGTGGACTGAGCTGCATTTCTGCATTTTTCAGGATCCCTCCACACCACAGAAGTACCTCCTGCGGCTGTGGGCAGAGCCAGGCTCATGCCTGGCGACTACAGGAGCCAGATGCACATACCTGCCTGGTGCTCTACTCCCTGCTCTATTTCCCGACATAGAAAGCCAAACCTATGCCGGTGCCTGCCATCATTTATTCTCAGCTGCCATAAAGCATTTCAAACAAGTGAGAGTGAAAGAAGAGAGCAACCCAAGGACAGGCGCGCGTCACTGGCAGCAGAACTGTAGCTTTCGGGCTGGGAAGGTGGCTCCGTGGTAGAGTGCTTGCCTTGCATGCCTGAGGCCCTGGGTTCCATTCCTCAGCACCACATAAGCAAAAAGAAAAAAGCCAGAAGTGGCGCTGTGGCTCAAGTGGTAGAGCGCTAGCCTTGAGCTGAAGAGCTGAGGGACAGCACCCAGGCCAGAGTTCAGGCCCCACAACCGGACCAAAACAAAACAAAACAAAAGAACTTGTGTACCTATGCCTCTCTGGAAGCTGGGGTTTTGTGGTCCTATCTGTAGGCAGATCCACTATGTTCCCCAAGTGTGCAACCTGAGTACTCACTGGGAGGTTTCCCTCTTTTACCTTCAATCCCAATGCGAATGTTTTTCAGGCCTCGTTCCTTTAATACTGTTTTAGCAACATCCCGATTCTCAATATACTTGAAGAACCTGTAGAGCTTGGAGCTATAAAGAACTGAAACGAAAGCAAAGATACAGAACCACCTGGAGTCAGTCACAGAGGAAACTGTAAAAGGAGATAAAAGGTGTACTAATCCCTGACAGCAAAAAGATCTGCATGGGTCAAAGATTAAATGTTAAAAAAATATGATGAAGTCAGGCACCAGTGGCTCACACCTGCAATCCTAGCTACTCAGGAGGCTGAGAGCTGAGAATCGCATTTCAAAGCCAGCGTAGGCAGGAAAGTCTGTGAGATTCTCATCTCCAATTAACCCCAAAGGGCCAGAAGTGGAGGTGTGGTTCAAGTGGTAGGTAGAGCGCAAAAACATCAAGAACAGCACCCAGGCCCTAAATTCAAGCTCTAGAACCAGCACACACACACAAAGATATATCTGACAGCCCAAGTCACATGTGCGTAAAGACTATTTAAAAAGGAATAGTCACTGCACATTACAACTCACAGCTTAAATGTCCAACAATAGCCGGACAGATCAATTACTGAACATTGATACAATGACGTACTATGCAGCTATAAAAAGGAAGTGTTGCTTTTTATGCAAGATGGTACAGAACAGTCCATGGAACATGGTATCACTTGAAAATTATTCATCTATTAATGTATTCTGGATATACTTGGAAAGCTATAAAAAAAACTGAGGAAAACAATAGATGGGCAGGGTTGGAAGAGGACTTTTTAAATGTATACTCTTGTACTAAGCTTTGAATTACTGCTAACTCACAAATGAATGCAGAAGGAGAGAGACTGGTAGCACTGTGACGTCTGTGGCCTCAGTGCGGTGCCCCACACCAGGGGTGTGAGAGCTGGAACGCTGGCTGCACTCCCAGCCAAGGCCAGACCCGCAGTGCCGGTGGCTTGCCATCTACGTGTGCTTGTCACACAGTAAACATTGTGTGCGTTGGTTCTAGGATCTCACTGCCACTCTGCACAGTGATTTGGTTTTGTTAAAAGTATCTGTGTCTTACTTTGAGAATATTCTTCTCCCATGGGTGGGGGGTGGTCTTCATCCCAGTCCACAGAGTCCTCATCAGTGAGCACCACGATGTGGCACTCCCGCTCCCCTTTCTTGGCGCAGCCCACCATGATGGGCACAATGAGCTCCTCGAGGTAGTGATCGAACTGTTTGTGGGCGCCATCATTGGACAGCTCATGTAGCAAAGCACCTGGGGAGAACGCAGCTGAGTGCACTGTCTATGCGTGCCCAGACAGGCTCACGGCTGTCAGCACCAACACGCGCCAGAGAAGGGAGGGTCTGGCCTGCTCAGAGGTCATCATGGCTGACATGGGAAAGGGTTCTTGTCTTGCCACGCTCCGGCTTCATCAAGTCTAACCGCCTGCTGAGGTTTTGGTACACGCTCAGCATCAGACCATAAACATCTACAGGAGGGGTGTGGCACCCCAATGATGTGTCCTGGACCCAAGGGCTTTCTCTAGGTGTGTAGGAGACCCAGTAGAGAGCTCCACATCCACAGGCCTCCACACACACTGCAGGAAAATGCAGGAACTCAGGCAGCCCCGGTCAGGACAAGAGCACGAAGCTCAGTGTTTATGGCCAATCTGTGTCCTCATGCTGGATTTAGTGATCAGAACTTTGCACAGCATCGTCCAGTCTCCTTTGTTACTGCACTGATCTCTCAGGGCTAAACTGTTAGAGGTTTTTGTGCTGCTACAAGGGCTTGCACTCAAGACATGGCATTCAGAGCCTTATGCTTTTGCTCAGCTTTTTCACTCCAGGCTAGAGCTCTACCACTTGAGTCACAGCTGTTTCCTACTTTCAATGGTTAACTGGAGATAATAGTTTCACAGATTTGTCTGCCCATGCTGGCTTTGAACCTTGACCCTCAATAGCCAGGATTATAGGCATGAGATACTGGCACCTGTTTTGTTAATAGTTTTGAGCAATTCCTTATCTTTAAAGCACTAAGCAAGTGCTAAGTTAATAACACTGAGAAAAATACTGGTAAGAAGCTGGACATGGTGGCAAATGCCTATAATCCTAGCATTTAGGAGGTTGAAGCAAGGCAATCAGGAGTTCAAAGACAGTCTGGGCAATCTATACAACTGCCTTAAAAAAAGAAGGTAAGAACCCAACCAAATTATGTTGTCTGGCTCGGCCAGTGGGTCCGACCTTGTTAAACAGCTGCCATCAGTCTTGCCCAGGGGGAAGCAGCTAGCCTGGTGAACTGCTGGCCATGCTGGATCTGGAACCCATTAGCTGTATCTCACTGTGTGCCCCACCCCTTCCTCAGTCCCTTGAAGCAGGAGAGGGAACAAGCTGATAGCAGGATGCATCTGCTCATGCAGACGACCCTCAGCCCTCGCCTGTAGCTCCGGGCGGCGGTGGCCCACGCCTGTAATCCTAGCTACTCAGGAGGCTGAGATCCGAGGATCACAGTTCAAAGCCAGCCTGGGCAGGAAAGTCAGTGAGACTCTTATCTCCAATTAATCTAAAAAAACAAACAAACAAGTGACTCAAGTGGTAGAGCGCTCACCTTGAGCTGAAGAACATAGGGACAGTGCCCAGACCAGAGTTCAAGCCCCACAACCAACAAAAAAAAAAAAAAGAAAAAGAATTGTAACTCATTCATCTTGGCTGGACTCTGGTGACTGGGAAACAACTGATTTTAAAAGGTATTCTGGTGTGGCTCAGTGGTAGAGCGCTTGCATAGCATGCATGAAGCCCTGGGTTCCATTCCTCAGCACCACATACTCAGAAAAGGCTGGAAGTGGCATTGTGGTTCAAGTGGAAGAGTGTTAGCCTTGAGAAAAAAAAGCTCAGGGACAGGGCCCAGGCCCTGAGTTCAAGCCCTAGGACTGGGGGGGGGGGATATTTTGCCAGTGTGTGCTGATATTTTTATAAAATAAGTTTTAAAACTATTCTAACTAGTCAAGGAACTGGATTTTTAATATTGTTCTTGTTAAACAAAAGGATTTATAGACTGTAACGCCAGTATAGCTGGAGTGCCCCCAGGAGGAGCAGAGCTCCATACTTACTCAGATCCTGACATCGGATGGTGTTGAAGTCAAAATTAATGCACAGATAGTCGCAGGTGTCTCTGAGGTCTGGGATAGAGATGCCATCCGGACAGCTGATGATGCCAGTTTTGTAATAATCCTGCAAAAAGATTGGGAAGAAATGCTCGTTCTGCCAAGAACACGGTGGGCGTGGCATCTTTAGCCACTCGGTCCAGGTGATAGGTTCCTGCCTACAATCATCCTCCTCCCCCAGAAAGAACCAGAGGACTGACTGAGCTCACGTGGCCAGGACAGAAATGAAAGGAATGCAGACACCGGAGTGGGTAACGTGGCTGATGGAACTTTAAAGGGTGAACACGTCACCGCACATGCCAGGGCGAAGAGGTAACGCTGTCCTCACCAGCACCGTGCGGAATACAGTGGCGCTGATGCCTTCTGCAATCTCGTACTCCCCCTTCTCATTGGGCCGTGTGAAGTTGTACTCTCTTCCTGGTCCAAACATCCTGAAAGACACCAGGCAGCAGATTTCACTCAGGCTGCTTGGCCCTTTCTCACCCCCGCCCACAGCCCCGGGGCCCTGCGCCTACAGGACGAAGCAGCATTGGAACGGCCACAGCTCTGGAAGGGCTCGGCCTGCCTTTCCTGTGCTCCTCCGCCAACACTCCCGTCCAGAGCCGCTCCTCACCACCTGGTACCCAGGTGTAGCTGAGGGGTGGCCCGTGCCTCCCCTTCCTGTTCATGTTCCCTGGGTTCTTGTGCCAGCCGTGGCCTTGTGGGCGCAGGCAGCACTGCAGGTCAGCATTTGGATTTCTGTAGCAGCCACTCTCATGGTAAGCTCCCAACTCAGGCGCAGAGGGACTAGACCACGTCCCCCACCCCTATCCCATGCCCCTGGCCCAGGATCAGTGTGCAATCGGGCGAGCAGGTGCCTCCCTCCCTGCCCCCGCAGCCCAACTGCCATGCTAGGGAGTACTGACTTGCGTCTCCCATGGCTCCACTTTGGTATTACTCCTTGGGGCTGGGGAACGCCTCGAGCCCTGCACACACCAGCTTTTACTATCTTGCCCTGCCTTCTGCACACACTGTATGAAGGTGGGAGAGCAAGGACCTTCATGTCTCAGCCATGCAAGCTGAGTGGCACCAACCTGTCTCACAGTGAACTGGGAAGGAAGCGTCTGCCATTACCTTCCCAGCATGGTGTCTGGGTGAGCAGTGAAAATCTGCGGGTTCACCACAAAACGGGTGCCGTCCACCAGCAGGGTCACCTTCTCTGGTGCCTGGGCGTGGGAGGTACTGGTTCCCAGCCTTTCCACGGCAGCAAAGGGTTCATGGCTCCGCTTGCTGCCACTCGGGAAGCAGGAGCCTTTGATGTCCTCAGGCATCACGTGGGCCAATGGGAGGCTTGTAGGCTGCGGGGCGAAGTCAGGGGCGAGGCCTACGAGAGCACACAAGCAAACCCCGTGACTCAGCACATCCGATCTTCTCCAAAACATCATGAGAGGCACAAAGTCCAGATGTCTGGGTGTTCACCACCGGCAAAACCTGCCGCCACAACAAGCCACAGGAAACTAACCCAAACGAGGGACTCCTGCAACCTCTTTGCTTTCATGGCATGAAAATGAGCAGAAATGCCACACTTGAAAGGATTATGGGGAGACCCAGCAGTCTCCTGCCGGTCCCTCCAAGGCCCAGGATCACTGCCCTCCACGGTCCAGGGGGGCCTGGAACCTCTGAAGTGCTGTTAAAAATGCAGCAGGTGCCGGAATTGCAGGCACCAGCAACAGGGCAGAGCAGGTGAACAGGACTGACCCCTGAGCCCAGAAAAGCGTCTTAGGCTCTGCAGTTTGCTGTCACTGCGGCAGGACAAAAGCTGGGGACACATCCAATCTGCGTCAAATCTGACTTAGCAAAGAGGCAGCACCACATCTGGCCACAGCCTGCCATCCCCAAGGCAAAGCGCCATGTAAAATCCTTATAAGCGAACTTGAAACCGTCTGTTGTAACCGGTAGAACAGACGCACGTTGGATGTGGCGTTGTCAAGCTACTCTGAGAGTAGCAGGACTTGTTCATTAGTTTAGTGGCAGAGGAAGTGTAGATGGATGAGTGCAGGGAGTGGGCCGGGTAGGTGTGCGCTGGCCATGCTTCCGTGCTGTACGGACGCTGCTGATGTCTATCTTTTGGCTGTACTAAAGGAATGCCTGAAGTCACTGGGTAGAACATACATTGTTTTCCAGTTTCCATCTGGAAACAAATTCCCTCCGCAGTGCTGTCATCGTGTCCTTTGTTGTCTTGTCTCATTTTCAGTTGAGTGCTAAGGGAATGTAGTGTCTTCATATCACGGCATGACATTTATCTCAGGGTGTGTTGACATTTTTTGTATGCTAGGACATTTTTGTCCCCAAGAAAGGCAAGACCAGATTTTTTACCCCTAGAGACTGAGTTTTGTGTAGTTTATTCATGGTTATCCAGTCCTTGTGTAGCTTATGGACTTTGCATTGGTGACTACTGAGAATGTGTGAAAAGCCAAATGTGTATGACACATCTTACATAGGATTAATCACACACCGTACTACTGTGTTGTGTAGAATCGTGCAACCCAACCTTGGGATTTTGGATGGTGGTGTTGTGGCTTCTGTGTTCTCTTGCTTCCTGTGATGCACGTATTAATGTTGTAAAAGTTTAGGTCATTTAAAAATCTTGTTAACGGGGCTGGGAATGTGGCTCAGCGGTAGAGCGCTTGCCTTGCACGCATGAGGCCCTGGGTTCGATTCCTCAGCATCACATAAGCAAAAAGAAAAAAGCCAGAAGTGGCGCTGTGGTTCAAGTGATAGAGTGCTAGCCTTGAGCTGAAGAGCTGAGGGACAGCGCCCAGGCCCGGAGTTCAGGCCCCACCACCGGACCCAAAAAAAAAAAAAAAAAATCTTGTTAATGTTAAGTGGCTCATGCCTGTAATCCTACTCAGGAGGCTGAGATCTGAGGATCGATTCAATGCTAGCCCCGGGAAAGAAAATCCATGAGACTCTTATCTCCAATAAACCACCCCAAAAATGGAAGTGGTGCTGTGGCCCAAGTGGAAGACTGCTAGCTCTGAGCTGAAGAGCTGAGGGATAGTGCCCAGGCCCACAGTTCAAGCCCCATGACCAACAAACCAAAGATAAAAACAACAACAAAAAAAAAACACGTTAGTGCCAGGGGGTGATGTTGTGCAAAAAGAAATGTACTCTTTGACTTATATAGCTATAATTCCTTTGTACATCACCTTTATAAACACATACACACAAAAACAAAAAATATTGCGCCTTCTAGGCAGAACTGATCCTCCAGAGTCAAAGACCCCTAAATGAAAGAAGAGCTAGTTACTGACCATCATTCCGGGGGCCCAGGGGATAGGCAAGGTGGTGAAGGCTGGCTGGAGCCAGGCTGGCTGCTTGTTTTTCCTGAGCAGTTATTAAAGGGTCGTCCACTAGGCAGGCAGCCTCCGGCCCCAGCAACCTGTCTCCGTTACTGCCCTGGTGAGCGCTCATTCTCAGCTGCTGGCTTGTGCAGTCCTGGGAGACAGCAAGACACAGGGTTAGAATTCCCCTAACGGTCTTTCACCACCGTGCAAAGACGATACCAGAGAGGGGCGAGTTCTCATTCTGGTTCTCAGAAGGCAGGATGGGAACCCTGCAGGCATGGTGTGCTGAGAGAGAGGAGCAGGGAAGTTTGAGGCTCTGTAAGTCATGCCTGGAGCCAGGCTGCAACACCCTTCCTACGTGACCAAGCTACACATTCATTGCACAAAATAATTAAGTGGGCTTATACACCTAAATGCAAAGGGTGGCAGAGTCCAAGTGTTTAAAGAAAATCTGCCTGTTTCAAAAAACCAGTTGAGTAACAAGCACCAAAAAGAAAGAAAAGAGGGCTGGGAAGGTGGCTCAGTGGTAGAGTGCTTGCCTTGCACGCATGAGGCCCTGGGTTCGATTCCTCAGCACCACTTAAGAAGAAAAAGCTGGAAGTGGCGCTGTGGCTCAAGTGGTAGAGTGCTAGCCTTCAGCTGAAGAGCTGAGGGACAGCGCCCAGGCCCAGGGTTCAGGCTCCACGATCGACAAAAAAAAAAAAAAGAAGAAAAGAAAGAAAGAAGAAAAGCAAAGAAAAGAAAAGCAAAAGGGGGTTCTGGGAGTATGGCTCAAAGGCAAGGTACCTGTCTAACAAGTCCAAGGCCTGGGTTGAGTCCCCAGCCCTTGGGACCAAAGCAAGCCTTGACTTGTACTGCTCCTTCATCTCTCCTTTCCAACCGCCAATACTGGCTATCAGGTGGACCACATCATCTCACCCCTAGGAGCCCCAACCCAGACGCACAGCTCACAGGTGACGGCCATGTACCAGACCCTCCCAGACCAGGCAGAATGGTCAGCTGCCTGCAGGCCACCCTGCCAAATTCACTGGGCTGGGACTGCAGATCTCCACATGGCTTCTGGCGGTAGATCCTGTACTCCCTAGCCATCTGCAGGCATGGCCCCTTGAAACTGACAGTAAAGTTAAGAAGTCTGAGAAGCAGTGGCTTATACCTGTACTCCTAACTACTCAAAAGGCTGAGATCTAAAGAGCAAGGTTCGAGGCCAGCCGGGTAAGAAAGTCTGTGAGAACCTTATTTTCAATTAACCACCAAAAAGCTGAAAGTAGCGCTGTGGCTCAAGTGGTGAGTGCCGGCCATGAATACAAAAAACTCAGGAAGAGTGCCCAGACCCCAAGTAAATCTCACAAGTCTTTGATGTAGCAAAGAACTTTATTCCACAACTTAAACTGTTGCATAAAGAAAGCTCTAGAGGCCGGGCGCTGGTGGCTCACACCTGTAATCCTAGCTATGCAGGAGGCAGAGATCTGAAGATCATGGTTCAAAGCCAGCCCGGACAGGAAACTCCATGAGACTCTCATCTCCAATTAACCACTCAGAAAACCGGAAGTGGTGCTGTGGCTCAAGTGGTAGAGCGCTCACCTTGAGCTGAAGAGCTGAGGGACAGCGCCCAGGTCCAGAGTTCAAGCCCCATAACTGACCAAAAAAAAGAAAGCTCCAGGGGCAGATGGCACCATTAGCGCATTCTCCCACCTTTAATGAAATGGTTCGAACAGCCTCACACTCTTGGGAGAAAAGAGGAACGATGCCCAATCACTTTCCAGGCCAGTATAACACTGGCCCACATGGGCCAAGGCGCACCCCAAATGAACTGACCATCTGATCCACATACATAATGATGAACATTGGTTTAACATTCAAAAATCCAACTCTTGCAATTCTCCAACTAAAAGAACGAAAAGAAAGACGTTTTAGAACAACTGTAAGCAGTGGCACAGCAATCGCCACGCTAGGTTTTTAGTATGCAGGTTCAGATCATCAATGTATTCAGAGAGAAAAGACTGCTAACATTAATTATTCCCCCTTAATTGCTGGATTATATTTTTAACAAGTGTCATGTTGTTGCGTGTACTTTCTGAATGTGGAGAAAGGAAAATGTATCTTTAAATACAAGGAATGAACGCTTCCAGAAAATGCTGGAATCACTGGAATGTTAAAATACTTCTTATGACAGTTTAAGAGAAAAACTTAGAAGGTGCAATAGTAAACAACGTCTTTCCAAATAAGGGAATCTGACATTTTTCTTTCTTTTTTTTTTTTTTTGCTTATGTGGTGCTGAGGAATGGAACCCAGGGCCTCATGCATGCAAGGCAAGCGCTCTACCACTGAGCCAGCTTCCCAGCCCTGACATTTTTCCATCTAGATGAAAGAAGAAACACGCTGAGCAGATGCATCAGGAGCGCAGGTGACGCTGATGAAATAGTTCCAAAAGGGGGTGTGAGTGGCGCAGAGGGATGCAGTCCCGACGGCCTGAAGTACAACGCAACGGTTTATGCGGATTCCAGGCCTGGGTAACAGTAAAAGGAGAACAGGCAAGGGGCAGGAAAAAGACACTTGCCCCTTGAGCCTCAGGACACGGGACTACACTGGCCACGCAGCCACGGGTTTCCTAAGCAGATAAACATCATGACTGTCAAACCAGGTGTCCTCAACATTCATGTTCAAGACGCTGTCCTCAGTAACTCAGAACGGCCCACACTGGGCGAGGAGGAAGCTAGCATGAAGTCCTGGAGGCAGCCCTTCCCATGACAAATACCCTCTGGAGAAGAGATGAACATGCAAACACACAACATAAAGGCACGGCCACACAGCTGCCACGGACAGAGGGCACAGAAACCAGCCCTGCCCACACCCCGAACTTCTACCCACCAGAACAAGAGACACACATTTCCCCTGACCAAGGCACCAATGGTGGCATTCATTTTGGCAGCCCAGGCACAGGAATACAATAATAAAGCTGCAAAAATTAAAGCTGACTTTGCTTCACAATAGATCCCTCCCCTCAATGGGAAAAAGCAAGTGTCAGTTACTGGTCTTGGGAGGAGGGGGGGGGACACAAAGAAAAACTTATGAATAACTAAGGTTGGCCTTGGCTTCTCATGCCTGTAATCTAGCCATTCAGGAGGCTGAGATCTGAGGATCGAAATTGGAAGCCACCTGGGACAGGAAAATCCATGAGACTCTTACCCAATTAACCACCAAAAAGCCAGAAGTGGAGCTGTGGGTCAAGTGCTAGAGCCTTGAACAAAAAAGCTCAAGGACAGAGCCCAGGCCCTGAGTTCGAGCCCCTAGACTGGAACACGTGCACACACATGCACATGGCTGAGCACACACAGACACACACAAATAATGGCTTTGTGGTCATGTGTGCTTAAGTTTCAACACTGGCTCAGCTACTTAGTGTATCTTTGGGCAAACTTGATCTCTGTATCTTAAAAAGAAAATAATGAAATGGGACAGTGAAAATCATTTAGTATGTTGTCTGGTATCTGACGCCACTAATTAAGCCCTCAGTTCTTCTTCTACTTTGTGGTTACACAGAACCACCTAACCGTGTCTGTGTGTCTGTGTGGGGACTCCAGGCAGGAGGCTCGGTCCCTTTTCATCAAACCTCTTCCTTTCTTCTGTATTAATAATCTCATTTCCCATAAGGAGGGAGTTAAGAAGTAGATTAAATCAGACTAGAAGTTAGCACAGCCTTATTTCTATCAGATACCCAGTAACGTGGTCAGAACAACAACAGCTCAAGCACATAATCTCTAGAAATCACCAGAATTACATCTTTGAGTCTTTTGGCTCTTCAGCTCAAGACTAGTGCTCTACCATTTGAGCCACAGCGCCACTTCCAGCTTTTTCTGCTTATGTGGTGCTGAGGAATTAAACCCAGGGCTTCAAGCATGCAGGGCAAGCGCTCTACCACTGAGCCACCTTCCCAGACCCTCTTGTCTTTCTTTTAACAAAACCAAGTTCCAAGTTCATAAGCTCTCTTAGGATTTACAGGACAGCCGCGGTTCCTTTCTCCTTCCACTGTCAGCCCCAAGAGCTCCTTTCGCACCTCCTCCTTGGCGATCACAATTAAAACGTCAAATTACTCTCTTTCAATCTCCACTTTCCAGATAAGATAACACTGGCTTTTTTTCTCCTATGGAAGTCTCCCAATCTTTACCTCCTTTTAACATCTCTGGCTCTTTTCCCATTTTGGAAGCGGTTTTCTTGGGACAATTTAGTGGGGAGGAACAGCAGCAGGCTAGAAGCCAGGCAGCCTTGCTCTGCCATCTCAGCTCTCAGATTCCCTATCTGAAAGATGAGAGCATCGCACTAGATACATTTGCAATAGGTTCCTTCTACTCCATGCCTCAGTTCAGTTCTATGACTCCCAGTCATCCAACTTGAATCACTCATTATTGTAACAACTTCCCTAACCGTGTGTGTGTGTGTGTGTGTGTGTGTGTGTGTGTGTGTGAGAGAGAGACAGAGACAAAGAGACAGAGAGAGGAGGGAGGGAGAGGGAGAGCTACAACTCCCCTCTGCTTCTGGCCTTTTGGTGGTTAAGTGGAGGTAAGATCTCACAGACTTTCTTGCCCAGGCTGGCTTCGAACTGTGATTCTCAGATCTCAGCCTCCTGAGTAGTGAGGCCCTGGGAGCCCAGCTTGGCATTTCAGTTTCTATTATAATATCAGCTCAACCAGGATAGAGCCACAGTGGCTCTAAACTTTCCATTCCAATTAGCCAAGGGATGGGAAGATATACTAGAGCGATAGAAGGAAACCCACAGCCTTTTGGGAATCAACAGAAAGACTGACTTGTGAGAAAAACCAGACATCAAAAAAGGATAGCAGGGCAGGGAATATGGCTTAGTGGTAGAGTGCTTGCCTAGCATGCATGAAGCCCTGGGTTCCATTCCTCAGTACTACATAAGCAAAATAAATAAATAAGCAAAAAAGAATAGCAGCTGGTGCCAGTGGCTCACACCTGTAATCCTGGCTGAGATCTGAGGATCACGGTTCAAAGCCAGCCCTGGGCAGAAAAGTCTGTGAAACTCTTATCTCCAATTAACCACCAGAAAACCGGAAGTGGCGCTGTGGTTCTAGTAGTAGAGCGCTAGCCTTGAGCTGAAGAGCTCAGGGGCAGCGCCCAGGCCAAGTTCAAGTCCCAATACCAACCCCCACCCCCCCAAAAAAAAAAGACCGGGGGAAAAAGGTAAACAAAAAAACAAAACACAGGACCTAACTTTTTACCCTCATCTCTAAGTGCCTGTCTGCAGGAGGCACTAAGAAACAGAAGTCTAGCTTACCCAGCGATCTGGCCCTCATCTGATATAGGTGATAAACAATCTACTACAGTGTTCTGCATACGAAGGGCATTTCCGGGACACTGGGTGGCTGAGTTGACGTCCAGACAGGCTGATACTGGTATGGGTACATACCCAGAATCTAGGCACTCAATGTCAAGGGCATCACAAGCAATGGCTACTGGGAGAGGAAGAGTAAGCAAGTCAGGACCCTGGAGACCTGGCGGCGTAATGGTATTGCTTAGGCCCTGATGATCCTGGAAATACCTTCAAGAGGGAGAAAGGATTGCTGAACCTACACAAGGCCATCTTTCTGCGGTAACAGGATATGTAGGAAAGTCATTTCCTTCCTGATGTCAGGGGCTCACGGAGGCCCTATCTTTCTTTATACCACCTCTGGGAGTCAAGAGCTCCTTAGAGCTTCTTGGCCCAGCCGGCTAAGGGAGAGGGTAGAGAAAAGGACAAGCCAACCAGAGGCCAGGGGGTGCGGCAGCCTGACAAATTCTCAGCCCAGATCAATGGTGGGTTCTTAAGGTGCGGGGGTCCCTCACCAGTTGTGACTGTGATCCGGGGAGCAGGGCCCGGGGGTCATCACCGGCCCGGAGAACCAAAGTCCATCCACGCTAGGGTCCTGCTAACTCAGGGAGGGGCTGCGGACGGAGGGGACCTGGTGGCTTGGGGGAGGTCGGGTCTGCTGAGGACTCTCCCCACCCACCCGAACCGTACCATTCCAGAGAGAGTCTGAGAACCACGAAAACCAAACCCGGACTCAGGGATCGGGCGGCGAAACGAACCACCCACAACTTCCCAGACACCGCGAGAGCCCGGCCGCTCCCGGCCGCGGTGCGGTAACGCGCGTCCGCGCAGCAGGAAGCGCGGGCGCGGCGCTCCGGCCGCTCCGCAGGGGGCGGTGCCCAGCGCGCCCGGCCCGGGGGGCTCGGGGCCCGCGCGGCCCGCCACGCCAAGCCCCGGAGCAAACACCGCCGCGGGACGGCCGCGCGAGGCGCGGGCGCTGCGGCTCCCCCCGCGGGCCCGCCCCGACCCCGGCCCCGCGCCGCCGCGCCGCCGCGCCGCCGCGCCCGCCGCGCCCGCCGCTCACCGTCGCTCTCCGGCCGGAATCCGTCCGGGCCCGCCGAGCCGCAGCGGCGCGCCCCCCCACCGCCCGGCCGCGCCGCCACGCGGCTGAGTCACCCGCCGCTTCACGTTAAGAGTCCCCCCCACCCTCCGCGCGGGGCACGCCGGGAAGGCCGCCCCAGGGTCCCGCCCCTCCCGGGGACGCCTCAGGCCCCGCCCCCAGGACGCCGCAGGCCCCGCCTCCTGCCTGTCCGGCTTGGTGGCTGGGTTTTCTTGTTTGTGGCCTGGGCGCCGTCCCTGGGCTTCTTTTGCTCAAGGCTAGCACTCTACCTCTTGAGCCACAGCACCACTTCTGGCTTTTTCTGTGTATGTGGTACTGAGGAGTCGAACCCAGAGCGTCTGCGGAAGCCCTCGTTCAATTACTGAGGCCTTAAAACGGAAAACCAACAGAATTGTAAAATAAGCCCGCGCAGTCCCAGGGCAGCTAAAGAGTGGATGGAAAATGGGGAGCCCTGACCTCCCCATGCATTGGCAGGATGCATTGGACACGTGCAGTCCTTTTTCAGATTGCACCGAGACCAAAAGAACTATAAAACAAAAACTTTTTCTCAAATTTTAAGTTTCATGAGAGTATCTGCAAAGCAAAGTTGAACCAGAAGCAAATTATTGGGGAAAAAAAAAACGGTTCGGTTAAGTGTAAAATACTTCAACCTAAAAAAAAAAAAAAACTGTCATATCCTATAAAATAAATGGGGGGAGGGGGGGAGGATGGGGTAAACCTAAAAGAAAGTAGTCCTTAGCCTGGAGCAAGTAGTTCATGCCTGTAATCCAAGCTACTCAGGATGCTGAGATCTGAGGATCACAGGTCTGAGCCAGCCTGGCATTAAAGTCTGTGAGATTTAGGCTGGGAAGATGAAGATGACTCAGTGGTAGAGCGCTTGCCTTGCATGCGTGAGGCCCTGGGTTTGATTCCTCAGCACCACATAAGCAAAAAGAAAAAAGCCGGGAGTGGTGCTGTGGCTCAAGTGGTAGAGTGCTAGCCTTGAGCTGAAGAGCTGAGGGACAGCGCCTAGGCCCAGAGTTCAGGCCCCACGACTGGATCCAAAAAAAAAAAAAAGTCTGTGAGACTTATCTCCAGTTTTACCAAAAAGCCGATGTGGAGGGGTGTTGTCAAGTAATACAGCGCCAGCCTTGGGCACAAAAGCTAAAGGTCAGGGCCCTGGCCCTGGGTTCAAGCCCGGATACTGTCACAAAAGAAAGGAAAATAGCCAGGTGCCGGTGGCTCTTGCCTGTAATCCTAGCTACTCAGGAGGCTGACTCCAATAAACAACTAGAAAACCGGAAGTGGCACTGTGGCTCAAGTGGTAAAGCACTGGCCTTGAGCTGAAGAGCTGATGGACAGCGCCCAGGCCCAGAGTTCAAGCCACGATGGACCAGAAAAAAGAAAAAGAAAGGAAAGCGAGGATCTCCAAATTTGCAAAAATAGATAAAGACAATACACATCAGCAGCTCCTAAAGTCATAGAAGAGCCAGCTCTGTGTCCTCCATCTGGAAGCTGCAAGGGGAGCTCAGGGAGCCCTAATCCAGCCCGAGACCCGCCCTACCGCCTAGGAAGCAGGAGGTTCTCACCCTAGACTCTTCCGGACAAGAAAATTTAAAGAAAAAAATTTAAGGTGCATCAAACTTAAAACAAAACAAAACAAAACAAAAAAACTGCTGCTGAAGACAGGCACACAATTGAAACCCCAGCTGCTCAGGAGGCTGAGATCACCGTTCAAGGAAGGAAAGTCTGTGAGACTCTTATCTCCAGTTCACCAGAAAACTGGAAGTGGTGCTGTGGCTCAAAGTGGTAGGGCACTAACCTTGAGCAAAAGAGCTGAGGACAGTGCGCAAGCCCAGAGTTCAAGACCCACAATTAGAAAAAAAAAAAAGCAAAAAAATCCCCCCACTCAAACAACAACAAAATAAACTGCTGCCCAAAGTCACATAATTGGGTAAGAAAATCATAAAACAGGAAGTGAACACTGAGGAGAGGATGTCTGGGGGAGGGGCCACCTATAGGTGAGGAAAGGCAGGAGAGAGTGTGTAAACACGCTTTCTGGACAATGAGTATTTGTTCATATCCATTTGCTTTCCTGGGGACAATATGAAGGTTCGTTTACTCAAAGAGGAAAGTAAAACCTTTGAAAAAGGATTTATAAATCCTTTGAAAAATATTAAACTTTGTATCACAGTTTCAGAATTTTCCTCAGGTATTCTGTCTTCTTTGGAAAGGGAATGGACAAGCAGGGGTATTTTGAATGTTAGAGAGAAAGAAAAGAATGACTAAGGAGAAGAAGACTACTTGGGGGCACTCAGGCAGGGTGGCACAGATCTCAGCCCTCAAGTGGAGGCAGGAGAATCGTGACTTCAAGGTCAGCCTGGGCTACATCATGAAATCCTGCCTCAAATTGAATAAATAAAGAATATTAAAGAAAAACACTATTTTTCTGATAAGAGCTAGAAGAGTAATCTATAAACACATCCTTTTGGGATGATGAAGGGGAAGGCTCTCTCCCCCACCCCCCATGCCAGATAATTCATCTCAAAACTGACCCTTTAAAAGTAGACAGATGCTGGGCTTGAGATTCCAGAATGAAATTAACCTCTTTAAACAGAAGGCGGGGAGGGGAGTTGGCAGGGAGCACTGAGATACAGAGTCCTCTTGCCCTGGGTCCAGCGGAGGTCTGTGTAAGCCGATAGCATGTTTATCTCTGAACATTCTTGTTCCTGGCTTCTACTCACTCTCTGCCTGCCCTGGGCCAAGGCTTCCTTCTTATTAGTGAACTAATACTAAGAATATGAGTAAGGGTTTTGTCACTTTCTCTGGGATTTTTTTTTCCTTTTCCTAAGGCTTGAACTCAGGCCTGGGCACTATCCCTGAGCTAGCACTTTACCATTTGGGCCTGAGCACCACTTCTGGCTTTTTCTGTTTATGTGGTACTGAGGAATTGAACCCAGGGCTTCATGCATGCTATGTAAACACTCTACCACTAAGCCACATTCCCAGACCTCTCTGAGTTTTAGTAACTATAACTGAAAATGAAGTCAAAGACACCCCCCCTCCCATAGATGTTTATCGAACTAGAGTTTGAACCAGTGAGCTTGAGGCTTATAAACAATCTGGTCATCCTCTGAGCTACCACAGGAAACCCTAAATGTCTCTTACCTTTCTTGTTCTAATCATACCCCTTTCCTTTCCCCAAATTTTCAAAAACTAGAAATATTCACCATCTATTTTATCAACTTGATATGGTGGTTCACAGGTATCATCTCAAATACCTGGGAGACAGAGGCAGGAGGATCTCTAGTTCAAAGCCAGCTTGGACAAAGTGAAACCCTCTCTCTCTCTCTCCCCCTCCCTCGTCTTCCCTCCTTCCCTTCCTCCCCCCTCCCTCTTTTTCCTCTCTCCCCTTCCCCCTGCAGTACTGGGGTTTGAACTTGGGGTCTTTGTGCTTTGAGCTATACATCCAGCCCCTTTGAGACTCTTACCTCAAAACAAAGCAAAAACAGGTGGGTGCCAGTGGCTTAGGCTGTAATACTAGCTACTCAGGAGGCTTAGATCTGAGGATCATAGTTCAAAGCCAGCTTGGGCAGGAAAGTCCGTGAGACTCATCTCCAATTAACCACCAAAAATAAAAATTCAAAAGGCCAGAAGTAGAGCTGTGGCTCAAGTGGTAGAGTGCTTGTGTTGAGGAAAATAAGCTCAGGGACAGTGTCCTGGACCTGAGTTCAAGCCCTAGGACTGAAACCACCACCACCATCCAAAATAAAAAAAGAAGATAGATTGGCAAGTAGGTATATTCAAAAAAGTCGATCAACAGCCCAGGCTTCCTCCTGCTCAATGTGCCACACGTACTAAATGGGACACATTTGATAGCAATCAAGTCCAGAGGCTTCCAGCTCCAGACCCTGCGCCTCTTGCTGTGGGTCTATTGCCCCAGATTATTTTTTTCCCTTTGTTTTGGTCGGTCATGAAGCTTGAACTCTGGGCTTGGGCACTGTCCCTCAGCTCTTCAGCTCAAGGCGAGTGCTCTACCACTTGAGCCACAGCACCACTTCCGGTTTTCTAGTGGTTTATTGGAGATAAGATTTTCACCAACTTTCCTGCTTGGGCTGGCTTTGAACCGTGATCCTCAGATGTCAGCCTCCTGAGTAGCTAGAATTACAGGCATGAGCCACTGGTGCCCGGCTTTGCTCCAGATTTTTTTTGACTTATGAGAACCCAGGGTTCTTGCTCTAGGCTATATGCACCAGTCGCTCTGGCCCCAGCACTTGGCAACTGTTGGAATCCTTGGCTTCGGGCAGCAGGCAGTAGCAAGCAGTAGTAAGGGGATGTCATCTAGTATTGCAGCTCTCAAACAGGCCTTGGGTGCTGGGACCCTCAATCCTGCAAGCAACAAGTGTCACAGTTCTAGAGTGTCTGGAGGCCTGAAGCTGTTCTAGTAACCAGGGCCTGCAGTTTCTCTTGTCTGGTTCATTAACAACCTCAGATCTTTCTTCTGCCTCAGCTGGCCACCCTCTCTCCCTGCTCACCTCTTCTGACCAGGGATGTTATTTATCCCTGCTGCCTCTGCTCCCTGGTATTTTTGCCCAACCCACTTTCTGAAACTCTCCAGCTGCCTCTTGTCCCTCTCGTGCTGTCACCTCCACCACTGTCACTGTAACCACCATCTCTGCCACTGCCATTGCTTGGCTGCCATTTCTGCCAAACCCTTCTCCTCTTTGTGTTACCTGCTCAGTGCCCTCTACTAGTGATGAAGACAAAAGGTAATCAGGATGCTGCGTGTGCTGCACACGCAGTAATCCTAACTAGCTACTCAGCAGCTGGAGGCAAGAGGACTGGGCAAAAAGTTAGTAATAGTCTATCTCAAGAAGAAAAATCAAGCCCAGTGCTGGTGGCTCATGCCAGTAATCCTAACTACATAGAAGGCTAAGATCTGAGGATCACATCTCGAAGCCAGAGTGAATTTAAGCCAGACCCTGAATTTAAGCCCCAGTACACACACACACACACACACACACGAAAGAAAAAATGAAATTTAAAAAGGTTTGTGGAGCT